TCTCCCCCAGCGGCTTCATGTAGATGTTAAACGGCGTGGGAGACAGTACTGAACCCTGCAGGACTCACAAGACAATGGTTGTGGAGTGAGCAGGTGTCTCCCAACAGCACCTTCTGGGCACGGCTCTCTAGGAAGGACCGGATCCACTACAAAACAGTGCCCCCAAGGCCCATTCCCGTGAGGTGGTCCAGAAGGATACCATGGTCGACGGTATCGAAGGCCACTGAGAGGTCCAGCAGAACCAACAGGGACACACTCCTCCTGTCTAGCTCCCGGCATAGATCATCCACTAAGGCGACCAAGGCTGTCTCGGTTCCATGCTCCAGTCTAAAGCCAGACTGTGCCGGATCCAGATACCTATACCCAGCATACTTACTTACTTACTTAGGTGATCCCTCGTAGTCCGAGCATGATGGTACTCCAACGTCGGTGTTCTGGCGGTGGGTCCGTAGGTGGCTGTGGAGCCCGATTCTTGACCTGCATGTTCTCCCACAGTGAGGGCATCGGTTTCCAGGTGGAAGGTGGTCCCGGTCGGGGTTGGCTTGATGCACCTTCCTCTTGGTACGTTTCTCTCTTTCGCCCTCCATTTGTGCCTCTTCAAATTCTACAGCACTGCTGGTCAGCTGACCTCCAGCTGGAGCGCTCAAGGGCCAGAGCTTCCCAGTTCTCAGTGTCTATACCAGAATTTTTAAGGTTGGCTTTGAGCCCATCTTTAAATCTCTTTTCCTTCCCACCAACAGTCCGTTTTCCGTTCTTGAGTTCGGAGTAGAGCAACTGCTTTGGGAGATGGTGGTCGGGCATCTGGAACATGGCCAGTCCAGCGGAGTTGATGGCAGAGGACCATCGCTTCAATGCTGGTGGTCTCTGCTTCTTTCAGCACACTGACATTTGTCCGCATGTCTTCCCGATATTTGTAGGATTTTTTGGAGGCAGCGCTGATGGAATTGTTCCAGGAGTTGCATGTGATGTCTGTAAACTGTCCACGTCTCGCAAGCGTATAGCAGGGCCCTCCAGGTGTTTTGGACTTCAGTTCCCACAATTCCTAAGTTTGCCCATCCCTGGTCTATACTCAGACATGTTTTATCTAATGCTACATCTGGATAAGGCCCCAAATATCCACAAGCAGGCCTGTGGCCCTTCAGGCATTTTGGACTTCATCTCCCAGCATTCCTGGCCATTGGACAAGCTGGCAAGAGCTTCTGGGAGTTGGAGTCCCAAACACCTGGAGGGGCCGACAGTTGTGCAGGCCTTGCCCTAAGGGCCCGAGATCCTTTCTGATCCTGGGAAAGGCTCAAGACCTTGTAAAACAACAGCTCTATGGAAACGTGGCTGTTTAAAATGGTGTCAAACTGCGTTAATTCTGTAGTGTAGATGCACCTTTGGTGCCAAAGGGGTTTTTTCCGCCAAAGCAGCTGTTTATTCTTTCCATTTTGTGCTCCATTTGAGAATAAAGACAAGAGGGAAATTTCCATTCAAACATTTCAAAATAACACCGGTGTCTAAAACACCGCTACAAGTTGTTTTGCCTGTTAGCAATAGACATAGCTTACATACACTGGTAATGTAAGTAAAAATATGAGTAATGCTTGAAGCGAGAAATTTTGCAAACTGGCTTTTTGTTACAGGCTTGTCCCAATAGCCCGATGCCCAGTATCTATATATATATATAAATGCTCTGTTCGTTTTGAGTGGTATCATAACTCAAAATCTGAATTGCCACCAAATTCGGCCACAAGACACCTACTAACCCAAGGGGTGACCATCACTCAAAAAATAAATTTTGTCATTTGGGAGTTGTAGTTGCTGATTTATAGTTCACCTACAATCAAAGAGCAATCCAAACTCCACCAACGATGCAATTGAACCAAACTTGGCATACAGGACTCCCATGACCAACAGAAAACACTAGAAGGATGTGGTGACGTTGACCTTGAGTTTGGGAGTTGTAGTTCACCTACATCCAGAGAGCACTGTGGACTCAAAAATGATGGATCTGGACCAAACTTGGCACAAATATTCCATATGCCAAATATGAACACTGGTGGAGTTTGGGGAAAACAGACCTTGACATTTGGGGGTTGTAGTTGCTGGGATTTATAGTTCACCTACAATCAAAGAGCATTCTGAACTCCACCAATGATGCAATTGAACCAAACGTGGCACACAGGACTCCCATGCCCAACAGAAAACACTAGAAGGGTTTGGTGGGTATTGAACTTGAGTTTGGGAGTTGTAGTTCCCTACATCCAGAGAGCACTGTGGACTCAAATAATGATGGATCTGGACCAAACTTGGCACAAATATTCCATATGCCCAAATATGAACACAGATGGAGTTTGGGGGAAATAGACCTTGACATTTGGGAGTTGTAGTTACTGGGATTTATAGTTCACCTACAATCAAGAGCATTCTGAACCCCACCAATGATAGAATTGGGCCAAACTTCCCACACAGAACCCCCATGACCAACAGAAAGGTGACAGGTGTGTGTGCAGAAAGTACTATTTCCTGCTGGTCTTTGGCGACCCTTCTGACACCCCTGTGATAAACAGAAGTGAGTCAGAGGAAATCTATAATGACACCCCCCCCCCCAGGTAGATGCATGATTTAGATTGCATAGGAAAGGGTAAACACCAATTTCTTTTGTTGTCTGTGCCACTGTTCAGATTTCACCTTGCTTCTTGTCCCTGTGATGATTAGATTTTGAAAAAAATGGCTTGTTGTGGAAACAAGGATTGGTCATAAATCTTCAGTGGGGACACCTTTCCCCCATGATAATAACACTTCCAGGAGTGAATTTCCTTTACTAGAGGTAGATTTCCCTTGTTTCCTGTTGTCTCAGCCCCGTTAACTATGAGTTGTTTGTAACTCGGGGACGGCCTGTATTCCTTTACTGGCTCAAGGTAAAGGGAGCCAGTTTGGTGCCACTGTGTTTGACAACTGCTCCACAAACACATTTCAAGGTGACAGGTGTGCGCAGTTTCACAGAGCACCTGTTGTTATGACTCAGCTATAGAGGCCAATGGCAATCTGTCATTTGCGCAGCCAAGACTGGAAATAAAACCCAGGCAAGGCATTGCTTGCAAAGTTGTCTATGGAACAGGTAATATTTGTCCAACCATGGTACCTCCAGGATCAGTGCTGGCTCCCAAGGACTGGCGTTTCCCACTTTTTGCAGTTTGTTAAAGACTATCAGAAATATACCAGGAGGCAAAAGAGTCTTGTGTTTCTTTGTCCAATATGACAATGCCAACACTTCAGGCCAATACATGCAGCCCAGCAAAAAGGAAAGTGTTGCTTTTGCAATTAGAGATATTCTGCAGAACCTGCTACTAGAACAGTGTTTCTCAACCTGAGGATCGGGACCCCTGGGGGGGGTCACAAGGGGGTGTCAGAGGGGTCGCCCAAGATCATCAAGACTATTTTCTGTTCGTCATGGGGGTTCTGTGTGGGAATTTTGGCCCAATTCTATCATTGGTGGGGTTCAGAATGCTCTTTGATTGTAGGTGAACTATAAATCCCAGCAACTACAATTCCCAAATGACAAAATCAATTGTTGAGTGATGGTCACTCCTTGGGTTAGTAAGTGACTTGTGGCCAAATTTGGCGGCAATATGTCCAACGAAAAGAGCATATAGATAGATAGATAGATAGATAGATGGATGGATGGATGGATGGATGGATGGATGGATGGATGGATGGATGGATAGATAGATAGATAGACTAGCCATCCCCTGCCAGGCGTTGCTGTGGCCCAGTCTGGTGATCTGGAAAATAAAGTAATGAGAAAGTGTTGGTTTCTAATATATGTAATTTTTTATGCTTGTGGGTAAACAGTATTTCTTCTTGTTTCTTTGTCAGTGTTGATGTGGAGATTGTCTGGTTTGCATACTCTGGAACATGCAACATATAATTGTCCTTCTTTAAGGGTCCCTTTCAAATCTAGGATACTATATCTCTGTGTGTGAATGATATATATATCTTTCTATATCTATGGGTGGATGGCTCTTTGTCAGGAGGGCTTTGATTACGTTTTCTTGCCCTAGTGAAGGGAGTTGTACTGGATGGCCTTAAGTATTTTCTGTTGGTCATGGGAGTTCTGTGTGGGAAGTTTACCCCAATTCTGTTGTTCGTGGGGTTTAGAATGCTGTTTGATTGTAGGTGGACTATAAATCCCAGCAACTACAACTCCTAAATGCCAAGGTTGATTTCCCCCAAACTCCATCTGTGTTCGTATTTGGGCATATGGAATATTCGGGCTAAGTTTGTTCCAGATCCATCATTATTTGAGTCCACAGTGCTCTCTGGATGTAGGGAACTACAACTCCCAAACTCATGATCAATGCCCACTAAACCCTTCTAGTGTTTTCTGTTGGTGATGGGAGTCCTGTGTGCCAAGTTTGATTCAATTCCATCATTGGTGGAGTTCAGAATGCTCTTTGATTGTAGGTGAACTATAAATCCCAGCAACTACAATTCCCAAATGTTAAGGTCTATTTCCCCCAAACTCCACCAGCGTTCACATTTGGGTATATTGAGTATTCATGCCAAATTTGGTCCAGATCCACAGTGCTCTCTGGAGGTAGGTGAACTACAACTCCAAAACTCAAGGTCAATGCCCACCAAACCTTTCCAGTATTTTCTGTTGGTCATGATAGTTCCGTGTGCCAAGTTTGATTCAATTCCATCATTGGTGGAGTTCAGAATGCTCTTTGATTTTAGGTGAACTATAAACCCCAGCAACTACATCTCACAAATGACAAAATCAAAGCCTCCACAACCCCAAATGTGGGTGTAACGGGTATTTGTGCTCAGTTTGGTTCAGTGAATGGACATGAATGGAAATACATCCTGCATATCAGATATTTACATGATGATTCATGACAGTAGCAGAATTACAGATGTGAATTAGCAATGGAAATAATKTTATGGTTGGGGGTCACCACAACATGAGGAATTGTATTAAGGGGYCGCAGCATCAGGAAGGTTGAGAGACACKGTACTAGAAATATTATTTTATTTTGCTCTTTTTTCAAAATGACACTTCGGCACCAAAAGGGCACAATTCCGGCTCGCCYTTCAGTGATGATAAATCCCACCCCAAATCAGCTTTCCCTTTCTTCCCCATTATAAATCATTACAATGATTKCCCGTTTAATGTCTATGATTAAATATTCAGGATGCAAATCATTTCTAGATCTAACCACAATGACAGTGTCGGTAACCTTAGGTTGCTTTCATTTACAGCCATGATTGGCATCAATGGGAAGGTTGAGTTAGTTTGCTGCCATCTGTTTACATCTACATTGAAGAATTAATGCAGTCTGGTGTCAGAAATATTTTTWAAAAATTAATTAGGTATTTTAAATTACAAAAATGTGMGTCAAGAACTGAAAGGGTTAATTCACCTCAGTCAATGAGAAGTGTCAGTCTGAGAGAGCCCTCAGTGTGAGAAGGCCTCRGTGTGTTAATAGGCTTCAGTATGAATAGGCCTCAGTGTTAGTTCACCTCAGTATATGAGAAGTGTCAGTCTGAGAGAGCCCTCAGTGTGAGAAGRCCTCAGTGTGTTAATAGGCTTCAGTATGAATAGGCYTCAATGTTAGTTCACCTCAGTATATGAGAAGTGTCAGTCTGAGACAGCCCTCAGTGTGAGAAGGCCTCAATGAGAGAAAGGCCTCAGTGTTAGAAGGCCTAGTGTGTGAGAGGCCTGGTTTGAGAAGGTTTTGGTGAGAGAAGCCCCAGGTTGAAGGCCTCGYGTGTAAAGCTCCAGTGTGAAGGCTGCTGTGTGTAAAAGGCTACTGTGTGAAGCTCCTATGTAAGTTCAGTGTGAGTGGAAGCTCAGTGAGAACGAAGCCTCAGTTTGAGAGAGCCCTCAGTGTGAGGAGGCCTCAGTGGAAGGCTTCAGTGTGAGGTAGGCCTCAGTGTTAGTAGGTTTCGATGTGAGAAGATTCGGTGAAAGAAGACCTAGGTTGAAGGCCATCATGTGTGTAGGTTGTTGTGTGTAAACAGCTACTGTGTGAAGCTCCTGTGTAACCTTGGTGTGAGAAGAGGCTCTGTGAGAGCGAATGTTTATCTGCATAAGTAAGAAGGCCAGTGTGGAAGCAAAGAAGGAAGTATAAAGAACTTTATTTGTGTTATGGAAACCTTGGTCTTGTAAATAGTGCAAACACATTATTTGAGAGAGCCCTCAATGTGAGAAGGCATCAGTGGGAGAAAGGCTTCAGTGTTAGTAGGCTTTGATGTGGGAAGATTCAGTGAAAGAAGACCTAGGTTGAAGGCCATCATATGTGTAGGCTGCTGTGTGTAAACAGCTACTGTGTGAAGCTCCTGTGTAACTTTGCTGTGAGAAGAGACTCTGTGAGAGCGAAGATGTTGATCTGCATAAGAAAGAAGGCCAGTGTGGGAGCAAAGAAGGAAGTCTAAAGAATTTTATTTGTGTTATGGAAACCTTGGTCTTGTAAATAGTGCAACCACATTATTTGAGAGAGCCCTCAATGTGAGAAGGGCTTCAGTGTGAGGTAGGCCTCAGTGTTAGTAGGCTTTGATGTGAGAAGATTCAGTGAAAGAAGACCTGGGTTGAAGGCCATCATATGTGTAGGTTGCTGTGTGTAAACAGCTACTGTGTGAAATTCCTGTGTAACTCTGGTGTCAGAAGAGGCTCTGTGAGAGTGAATATGTTGATCTGCATGAGAAAGAAGCCCAGCGTGGAAGCAAAGAAGGAAGTCTAAAGAATTTTGTGTTATGGAAACCTTGGTCTTGTAAATAGTGCAACAACATTATTTGAGAGAGCCCTCAATATGAGAAGGCCTCAGTGGGAGAAACGCTTCAGTGTGAGGTAGGCCTCAGTGTTAGTAGGCTTCGATATGAGAAGATTCAGTGAAAGAAGACCTAGGTTGAAGGCCATCATGTGTGTAGGTTGCTGTGTGTAAACACCTACTGTGTGAAGTTCCTGTGTAACTCTGGTGTGAGAAGAGGCTCTGTGAGAGCGAATATGTTTATATGCATAAGAAAGAAGGCCAGCATGGAAGCAAAGAAGGAAGTCTAAAGAATTTTATTTATGTTATGGAAATCTTGGTCTTGTGTGTAGGTTGCTGTGTGTAAACAGCTACTGTGTGAAGCTCCTGTGTAACTTTGCTGTGAGAAGAGGCTCTGTGAGAGCGAATATGTTTATCTGCATAAGAAAGAAGGCCAGCGTGGAAGCAAAGAAGGAAGTCTAAAGAATTTTATTTGTGTTATGGAAACCTTGGTCTTGTAAATAGTGCAACCACATTATTTTGCTATAGAGAAAAGCCTCCTAAGGAAGAGATAACATTGGTTTGTGTGTTTTTGTTCTTTTTATCACTTTGCGCTACTGGTGTAGGAGGGTCTTTTGTTAATAAYCCCACTCACTCAGCATCTGGCACCACTTGAACTSCTATAATTCAATGTGATGGCATCCTGAGAGATGTAGTTTTACAAGGTCTTCTCMGCCAAAGAGTGCCGGTGCTTCACCAAACTACAACTCCCATCATTCTATAGCAATGACAATTAAAGTGGTGTCAAACTGCATTCATTCTCCAGTGTAAATGCATACCCAAACTCCAGCTTGCATGAACCAAGGTGAATAATTAGGGTTAGTACAAGCCTAAATGTATTAGGATTAGAAACCAACTGAGAAGTTGTCATGAAATAATGCAACKGTCCATAAAAATGCTCTCATTTTCCAAATCATGTACAGAAGYTCTGGAAGACTACATCTTTGACAGGGAATCAACAGAGAGAAATGACACTGTCATCCACAAAAATAAAATATTCATTCCATATTAGGCAGGTCAATCACTAGATCTGACACTGGTTCTTAATGTATGATGCATGAATTCAAAAAAGGTTTCAGTCCTGGAGCGAAGGCACCAGTCTCCCATTTATTGACACCAAATCAATCTTTTTTAAATTTCCAATCCCACTTTTTATCTGTCACGAATCCATCACCCAAAGCAAACAGACCACCCCACCACCAGCCACTGAAAGGTGCTATATAATTCCGGATTAAAAATATATCAGAAACAATACAAAAAAAATATAGCTTTACATTCTTTAGACTACTCCAAAAGTTATTTTTTCTTCTCCACCGTTTCCTGATAAGCAATGAATCGTCTTAAATTCAGCTTCACATTGTCAAGGACGCATAACTGATCCGTGCTGTATTGTCCTTTTCCTTCTTTCCGGATCTGCAAAGGGGGGAAAGGGTAARGTTTTATTAATATTATTCAGAGAGAKAAKAAAGCTAAAGTCATCTGACAAAAAGGACATSACCTGGACAAAGCAATGATACAGTTCGGAGGAAAAATTAATTCCCTTGACTCTCTTGGAAACTGTGAAGAGTGCAAAATTCAAACTAGGCAGTTAACTAAGTGGGTTATTTTGGAGGTAGTACAGAGTTCTGGGGTATTTTTATGGTGTATTTTGCAGTTTTCGCATGCTGGTTGTGGGACATTCTATGTGAAAACTTCCAGAAAGTTCAAATTGTTTTTGTTTTTTTAAAATGTGGGCTTGGGAAGCATTTAGGGACTACTGTATATACTTGAATATAAGACAACTTTATTATTATTGTTATTGTTATTATTATTATTATTAGCAGGTTAAACTGCTGAGCTGAACTTGCTGACCAAAAGGTCGGTGGTTCGAATCCAGGGAGTGGGGTGAGCTCCCGCTGTTATCCCCAGCTTCTGTCAACCTAGCAGTTCGAAAACATGCAAATGTGAGTAGATGAATAGGTACCACTTCGGTGAGAAGGTAACAGCACTCCATGCAGTCATGCTGGCCACATGACCTTGGAGGAGTCTATGGACAATGCCGGCTCTTCGGTTTAGAAATGGAGATGGGCAACACTCCCCACAGTTGGACACAACTAGACTTAATGTCAAGGGGAAGCCTTTACATTATTATTATTATTATTATTATTATTATTATTATTATTATTATTATTATTGAGGTTGGATGGCCATCTGTCAGGGTTCCATCTGAACATGAGGAAGAACTTCCTGACTGTGAGAGCCGTTCAGCAGTGGAACTCTCTGCCCCGGAGTGTGGTGGAGGCTCCTTCTTTGGAAGCTTTTAAACAGAGGCTGGATGGCCATCTGTCAGGGGTGATTTGAATGCAATATTCCTGCTTCTTGGCAGGTGTTGGACTGGATGGCCCATGAGGTCTCTTCCAACTCTTTGATTCTATGATTCTATGCTTTGTGCTATTGCTGCATGAAGGCAGGAGGAGGTTGATGGTGAGGCTAGATGGCCATCTGTTGGGGGTGCTTTGATTGTTCATGAAGACAGAAGGTCCTTGGACTAGATGGTCTTTAGAGGTCCCTCCAACTTTATTATTATTATTAATATTATTAAGGCTGGATGGCCATCTGTCGGGATGCTTTGATTGTGCTTTCCCTGAATGAAGGCAGAATGAAAGGGGTTGGACTAGATGATCTTTAGAGATCCATTCCAGCTCTAGGATTTTATGAAGGAGCCTTAGTCGACCACGAGCGGAACACGAGCCAACAGTGTGATGCTGCAACTAAATAAAAAGGCCAATGCGAAAGGGAACTGATGTGACACTTTACCGTGACTCTTTTTTAAAATTGCTTTTAAGGATAATTATTTAATTGAACTGTTTATTTTAACTTATTGTACAATGTTTAGTATTGTCTTTTGTTTAATTTTTTTGTTGTTTTGTTTATATAGGCACTGGCTGTTTGCCTGTTACTACGTTGGAAGCTGCCCTGAGTCCCCATAGGGAGAAAGGATGGGGAACAAATAAATAATAATAATAATAATAATAATAATAATAATTTTATTGTTGATGCCATATTGTTTTTGTTGACCCTCCTTTTCCACTTCCAGATCTAGTTTGCCGTTTTTCTTTGAAATATGGTAGATATTAAAAATATTTTATTATTTATTTATTTATGACATTTATATGTTGCCCTTCTCGCCCCGAAGGGGACTCTGAGCGGCTTAAAAAATCATTAAAGACTATATAATATAATCATATTATATATATATATACACACACACACACACACACACACACACACACACACACACACATACACACACATACACACACACACACACATATACATACATACATACACACACACACACACAATATATTATATTATTCACATAGTACAATATCAGTATTATTACTATATTGTATTATACAATTATATTGTAATAGTATTCGTAATATTACATGTAATATAAATATATAATTATAATATCATAGTATTATTATAAGTATTATATTGCATTACATTATTATATTGTAAATATTATATGTATACACAATATATTATATTATTAACATAGCACAGGAATGTTTAACCTACTGATGCCTCTATTAATGTAATTTTATTGACATCTATTTTTATTTTTGAAATTTATCTGTATCTGCTGCATTTCCCCCCGTCAGCTTATACTTGAGTCAATATGGTGCCTCAGCTTATATTTGGGTCAGCTTATACTCAAGTATATACGGTAGTTGGAATTGGAGACCACCGCAGTGAGATCCAAGGCGTTCACAATGCCCATCTCAGCTTTAAACATATTACTGCATCATGAAACCTAACACTTTGTTGTTCAGGTGATTACGAGCACAATGGCAAAGTTAAGTTTTGTGGTCCAACACATTGATAAGCCACATAATCACACTTCAATTCCTCGCTCTCATTGCGATACACGAGACTTACTCGCGATTTGAAAACGGGTTGGAATTCCTTAAGGACATGAAGCAGCCTTATTTGTTCCGCTGCCCTTTCCGCTTCTTTGCCGTCGGCAAAAACGTCGAAAAGGGCATCCAGAGCTTCTCCGACAACCACGAGGGACGGATCCTTGGTCACAACGTCAAGGAGGAATTTCCCGATCATCTGGAATGGTAAACACACCGCAGATCAAGGCAACTATCTTGCAAGAAGGAAAATAATTCCTCTGCTTTGACAAAATCAGAGAGCAATCTCACCTTTAGTGTTTCTGCAGTGCTTTCCACTTTTGCCAGGACACTGCCAGCTATTCCCAAAATGCTCACGACGTTCACACGGACACTGATGTTGCTACTGTGAATGCCAGCTTCACATAAAGTCATCAGCTGCTCGGGAGTCATGCTCTGTTTTGAAAGAAAAGATACAAAAAAGGGGGGAGGGGATGAAAGAGAACAACAATAATGGGAAAATAGCATTAGATTTGAGTAAATAGGCTATTTAAACCTTGAAGAAAGCTTTTATACACCATTAATTTTGGAATACAGTTCATCCTCCACCTTCACCAGGGTTAGGCTAGGTACAAAACGTCATAAAAGTAGAAAAAACACAAATAAAAATGATTTATTTTCCTGAGGAAAAAAAACTCTCTAGAATCTCTTAAGTTCTTTAGCGTGACACTATGGTCCCCTTTCAGTAGAAGCTGGCCACAGATTCATACTGGAGGATCTAAAGATGTCTAGAGAAAATGTCGACTCTGCAAAAGTTGAACCTGCCAACATGATGGGCCAACTGCATTTGCTTCCTTCAGGCATCTTACTTAGGCGATCCCTCATTGTCCCGGTAGGATAATCCTCCAGGATCAGTGTGCTGGCAGTGGGAACATAGATGACTGCGGAGCCCTATTCTTGACCTGCATCTTCTCCTGCAGTGAGGGCATTAGTTTCCAGGTGGAAGACAGTCCCGGTCGGGGTTGGCTTGACGCCCTTCCTCTTGGCACATTTCTCTCTTTCACCCTCCATTCGTGCCTCTTCAAATTCTGCAGCACTGCTGGTCACAGCTGACCTCCAGCTGGAGCACTCAAGGGTCAGGGTTTCCCAGTTCTCAGTGTCTATGCCAGAGTTTTTAAGGTTGGCTTTGAGCCCATCTTTCAATTTCTTTTCCTGCCCGCCAACATTCCGTTTTCCGTTCTTGAGTTTGGAGTAGAGCAACTGCTTTGGGAGACGGTGGTCGGACATACGGACAACGTGGCCGGTCCAGCGGAGTTGATGGTAGGGGAGCATCACTTCAATGGTGATGATCTTTGCTTCTTCCAGCATGCTGATATTTGTCCGCTTGCCTTCCCAAGAGATTTGCAGGATTTTCCGGAGGCAGCGCTGATAGAATTGTTCCAGGAGTTGCAAGTGACATCTGTAGACAGTCCACGTTTCGCAGGCATATAGCAGGGTTGGGAAGACAATAGCTTTATAAACAAGCACCTTGGTATCCCTACAGACTGTGAAATCAGGCATCAGATGTACAACAGAAGGAAGAGAGCACTTCAGGGCTGCCCATGAACCACTTCCCATTCTCCTCCAGCACCTAAGACAGTTCTCTGTGCATATGCAGCAGTTGCTGTTACCTTGAGGGAACAATCCTGCCTTTCTGTTCAATGCAAAAATCACAAAAAGGGTGCCATTAAAATAAGAAGTCTCACCTGAGAGATATTATTCGATGCCAGCATTTGCAGGAGCGCCCGCAAAGCACTCGTGACAGCTTCCAGAAACTCCACTTCTTTTGAAAATTCTGCCCAAAAGTACAATACAGTTAGCTCAAGACTCAACATGCCAATATATTTACATTTAAATGTTGCTGAAATTAATGACAATGGGACTCTTTTTCCTTGGACATCTCTGATGAGAGGTTGGCTACCTGTCATTCAGGAGCCCTTTCTTTGTGTTAGAGGAAAACTATCCTAAAATTAACAGAGCACCCAAAACAAAACAGGATACAAAAAGTTGAGCATCAGCTCACTACCGAGCAAAGCGTGAAGAGCCCGATGATGTGGCTGTAAAGGATTTAGAGCTTAGGAGGCAAACATGAAGTCCAATCTTAAAAAATTAACAAAAATACACTAATACATAATAACTGGATTTCTTACTAATTAAGAACTGGGGCTTAGCTTCTCTAATACTCATCTCCTCTAAGGTTTCAAAGAGAGGGGAAAAACACCAATCACTACATCTCTCCTGACACACAAGCAGAGAGAAATCTCAAAGCACACAGCATATATGAAGGTTGAATGAAAAGTAATGCCTTCACCTTTGTTACTTGGGTTTGGATGGGAATATTTTAATAAATCAAACGCAGAAATAATCCTTAGAATGTGCTCTTTAACTACCACTATTCACTTTTCCACATAATCACCAGACAATTGGATACATTTCTGCCAACTATGAACAAGTTTTCTGAAGCCGTCACGGAAGAAGTCAACACTCTGTTTCCGTAACCAGCATCTCACAGTTCTCTCAACGTCTTCATCGGAAGTATAAAAATGTCCCCGCAGATCTTCTTTCATTATCAGGAACAGATGGAAACCAGACAGTGTTTAATCTGGACTGTATGGAGGATGTCGTACGGTGGTGAGATCCAGTCTCTGAAGTTTCAAGTCTGTGTGCTTTCATTTCAGGCGTCAACATCTTGGGTACCCATCGTGCACAGATCTTCTGATAGCCAAGCAAAGCAATAATGTGACCCACACGTTCTTGTGAAATGCCGATTATGCTTGAACTTTCTCTCTGAGTGGTACAATGATCATCCTGAATCAATCTGTCAACCTTTTGCTTGTGAAACTTGTGGTTGCTGTCACAGGATGTCCAACTTTTTGTTTGTCACACAAGTCAGATGTTCCCACCTCAACATCTTTAAACTTACTCACCCAACAACGCACAGTACTCACATCAACACAATCACCATAAACAGCTTGCATTCTCTGATGAATCTCCTTTGGGGTGACACCTTCTGCTGTCAAGAATTCAATGACTGCACGTTGCTTAAGTCGCATTGACCGACCGTCTGTGCAGGGTTCCATACTTTGCACTTTAACAACACAACCGTTCAATGCTAAGGCTTCCTGCCAAAATGGAACTGTAGAGGAGAGTCTACTGAACAAGCCAGTACCTGCTGCATACCAGTACTGCCATCTGTTGAGGAGTTACGAAGGTGGAGGCATTATTTTTCATTCAACCCTTGTACTTTCCATACTAAGAAGGCAGAAATCAGATTTAAAAAGCTTGCAGTAGAAAAGCATCCTTCTTAAACAACCAATCAGAATGAGAACAGAAACAGAGAGGAGAGATGAAAAAGGTACATTCCCAATTGTCATACAAGAGACACGGGGAAAGGGACTATTCCAATGGTAACTAACTTCTCATTCAATCCCAACACTTTGCACATTCCTGTAGGACAGAATGGGGTTGGACCTGGAAACACACCCATTAAAGGCAAAAGGGATGATGAGGAGTAAAAGGGAAGCAGAAAAGGGAAAGAAGCAGAATATCAGCATGGCATAGAAGCCACAAACATACCTGGTTGAGAAAATATTAACTGGGAGAGGTGGTGCGAGAGGGACTGAAGCACGGATGCGCCTCCAAGACAATCCACATCGGACACTAACAGGATGCTATGAAGGCAGGTCAGAGCTCTGTATTGAACCATGTTCAATCTGGGGAGGAAATTGAAAGAGACAAGACATACATGGGGATGAACCTTCTTTTGTTCCTTCCCTACACACATAATCTGTTGAGAGACATGTTTGAGGGCAGAACTTGGAGAAAAGGTCATGTTGGAGCTACAACTTAATGCTGGTGGTGGTATTCTGAGAGATGTAAACCAAAAGAGTAACTTTTCCAAGTTCTAGAATAATTCATTTATTTATTTACAACATTTATATGCTGCCCTTCTCACCCCGAAGGTCATGGGAGAACTGCTTAGAGCAGCTTACAAGATATATATATATATATATATATATATATATATACACACACACACACATACATACATACATACAATATATTATATTATAAGCATAGTACAATATCACTATTATATATTACTATATTGTACTATACCATTATATTACAATATTATTAGTAATATATGTAATATAAATATATCATTATAATATCGTATTATTAGTAAAAAGGTAAAGGTTTTCCCCTGACATTGAGTTCAGTCGTGCCTAACTCTGGGGTGTGGTGCTCATCTCCATTTCTAAGCCGAAGAGCCGGCGTTGTCTGTAGACACCTCTATACCATTATATTGTAATATTATTAGTAATATCACATGTAACATAAAATATATAATGATAATATCATTTTATTAGTAGTATTATATTATATGACATTATAATATTCTAAATATTATATGTATATACAATATATTATATTATATTATATTATTAGCATAGCACAGGAGACAAGGTGGAACTGTCTTCTGGTTCCCTCTCTCTTCACTCTGGCCTAGAGCAGGGGGGGGGGGTCCCCAACCGATAACATATGCAGGAGACAAGAGGGAACTGTCCCCTGCCCCCCCCCCCTTCAGTTTTTTTTCCTTCTCTTTGCCAGTGGAATTGAACCAAACTTGGCACACAGTTCTCCCATGACCAATAGAAAATACTGGATCTGGACCAAATTCTGCAAGAATACTCAATATGCCCAAATGTGAACACTGCTGGAGTTTGGGGGAAATAGATTCTTGACATTTGGGTTCACTTACAGTCAAAGAGCATTCTGAACACCACCAATGATAGAATTGGGCCAAACCTCCCACACAGAACCCCAATGTGGGCCACAGCAATGCGTGGCAGGGGACGGCTAGTTCTATATAAATAAAAATGTAATGTTCGTTTGTGGGATTAACAGAACTCAAAAACCAATGAAGGAATTGACACCAAATTTGGACACAATACGCCTATCAGGCCAACGAGTGACCATCACTCATAAAAACACTGAAAATCACAGTAGAAGAGACTTAAAAGGCAAAAAAATTACATTACAATGCATTCACATATATGCACAAATATACAAACATACACTTACAAAACATATATACACAGACAGAGCCACAGCAACGCGTGGCAGGAGATGGCTAATTCTTCAATAAACTAGTCTGCTATTTTACCTTGGACTTGGTAGTGAAACATTTGCAAATTTTATAGCTACTCGAATGCTAACTTAGCTTGCTAAACTGCAACATTCACACTTGCTTTAAACAGACAAGGGTTCTTTCTCCCACCTTGGACCTTCCACAGATATACATAAACTCCACTTGCTTCACTGCCAACAGAACCTCTGAAGATGCCAGATGCAGGTGAAACATTAGGGAGGAATGCTGCTGGAACATGGCCATACAGCTCGAAAAACTCACAGCAACACAGTGATGTCGGCTGTGAAAGCCTTCGACAATATAAATATGGTTTGCCCAAGTTATTGCCTTGAATGGGGACAAAGAAATAAATTTATTCCACTCAGTCTCTGTTTGAAGCAAGTATTTTGTGAGAAGGAAAACCAAACGCTCCGTGAACAGGGACTGGAGTTTGGGGACAAGACGTTGCTTGCAGCGTGTCAGGTGTCTATGTATCTGCATGCATCAAAACATACGCAACCAATATCAAGGTGGCCACACCTAAACGATGGAATTCTTTACTATGGAAAAGTTGGCATCCCCTTTGGAAACATTTTTTTACTGATAGCAAGAACCTTCTTGTTAAGGCATTTGCTTTGCAAATTTTATCTTAAGTTTTATCAACAGCATCTGCCAATTTTTATTTCATTGTTGCTGTTTGGGAATCTCATTGGATTTACGATGGGTTTTGATGCCTGCATCTTGAGTAAGCACCAAAAGGTGTTTTTTATATATAACATACCAGCCTGCAATGATATGGATAGGGATGTTTTGTGGAGATACGGTATTTACTGTTTGTCTGAGCAAAGATTCAGCTTTCTCTCGTCTGTTCAGTCTATTCCATATTCATAACACAATCGCCCTGAAAACAATGAGATCTCCAAATGGAGTTTCTTTCCGACATGTTTTCGAGCCAAAAAAAAATTGCAAAATGCAATTTAATGTGACACCTGCCTTGAAAAATAAAATCTTGGCTTGAAAAGTCAGTACATGCAGGGAGCTGTTCTGTTTTAAAAAAACCAACTCCAAGTAAATTCGCCCACACAAAGGTCTACTTTTAAGACAATGGTGGGATTTTAAAAAAAAACAATTTTGCACCATCTGCCAAAAGAACGCATTCCACCAAAGGGGAAAATCAACTGGTTTCATCCATTGGTTTCCTCCCATGTTTGCTCTGCATTCCTTTCTTTTTGTCTTGCATGCGATGTCTAGTTCAGAGCTTGTTGTATCCCAGAGCAGGAATACCTCTATCCTTAAATACCACACCAGTATAGTAAAATCAGCAAGCAGTTTATTGAAGGATACATGTAAGCAAAGCAATAAAAATGAGGAAATGGTATTTTTCCAAAACAGTATATTCCAAAGGTAACAGATAGTCCATGAACTTCAAGGTATAAAGGTAAAAACACAAGATCCAAGAATGCAAAATCCAAAAGAACAAGACAGCATGGAGATCCAATACTCAGAACAGAAAACTGGCAAAACTGGAAATATGAAGATAGAAATCCACTTGGAAACAAGATGGTCATGAAAATTCAACATTGCTGAGACTGAGCTCAAATACTTTCTCCATCTCATATGAAGTCTTTCCTGTCTCATGAAATGAAAGGAAAACATTTAGTTTGCCTTTACAACCAGATAAGTATTTCTTATCTCTTTTTTCCTCAGACGGGCTGACCTTTGACGAGCCTGAGAACTTTCCCTTAGTTTACAAAAGTCTTGTCTTCTATCTTCAATCTCATTAACTTCTGCACCTGATAAATCATCTTCATAAGACAGTTTCTCAGAGAAAGGCTGTCGTAGGCCCCTCTCAGGAATTTGGTCTTGGGAATCTACAGGAGAAGCACTCCATTCATGAGAAACCTTGGGCCTCTCAGCAAGGCTAAAACCACGCCTTTCAACAAAGCCAGGACTTGACAACTCAGGCCCAGGAAAACCATCATCCCCAATGACATCATACACAATCACAGGCTGAACTACAACACCGTTTTCCCAACTTTTCATGATGGTGACACATATCCTTTCCCGACACAGTAATTCAGTTTTACTAGCAAACTGGAGGTTAAACCAACCCTATACATATAAGAGTTGCATGGTAAAGGTATCCCCTAACATTAAGTCTAGTCATGTCCTACTCTGGGGAAGGTGCTCATCTCCATTTCTAAGCCAAAGAGCCAGCATGTGGCCAGAATGAGTGCATGGAGTGGTGTTATACATTTAGTATAATCTTTGTTGTCTATACAAGGTTTGGAAATTGTCATTTCTTCTTATTATGGACCCAAGTTGATTCTTGTGTCATTTCTTGTAACCACATATCTGCTCCTCCTCCCCTACTGGAAACATGGTGGGTCGCCATCTCGCTTGATGGAGAAGAGTGCAGAGGGGCAGAAAGGCCATTGCTGGACAGATCTTGGGCAATGGTGTGTCCCCTTCTCCTCCTCTTCTCCACCTAGGAAAGCTGGCTGCCGCCGTCTCCCCAGGCAGAGAGAGTGCCAAGGGGAAGACAGGCCGCTGCCAGAGAGATCACTGGCAAAGACTTGTCCCCTTCCACTCCTTCCAGCCTGGGAACGTCATTGGCTGCTGCCTCCSCGGGCTGGAAAGAGAGATGGGTGAAGGCTTCAAAGTCCCTTTGGCTGCTGTCTGTCTCATACTCCTCCCYACATCAAAATGAGGCAAGGTCCTGTCATGATGCTGAGAGAAGCACAATCTTGGGGAGGAGACAGGTGGTGGCCAAGTGTGCTTTGGGGATCCCTCGGCCATCGTCTGSTAAGGGGATTTTGAAGCGCTCTCCACCACTGCCCGTTGCCCTCCTCCCAGCACAAGGACAGGGCAAGTGGCCCTGTCCTTATGTTGGGAGGACAATCTGAGGATGACTCACCCTTGATCCCACCCCCTCCCTCCAAGGTCCACCTCACCTCCTCCTGGGCCTGCCCTGCCCTCTCTTCTGGCCTGGCCCTCCTGGCTAGGCATGCAATGCGGCCCCAGGGCAAAAAGGTTTGCTCATGCCTGTTGCATAGTAAAGTGTGGCTGCATTATGCATGCTTAAACATAATCATTTAAACAATAGTTGGGCAACTACAGAGGCACATGGAGCATTTTTCAGTCATGACATAAGATGACAGAAACTGGTATCATATGATTGTTGCACCCCAGATAGAGTTCACCTTGCCCTTAGCACCAGACAGGAATTCAAAAGCAGTAGTAAAGTAGTTTATTGAAGAGAGTACATATAAAAAGAGGAAAATCACCGCAAGGAATAAGAAAGGCAATCAGAAAAGGTAGTCAGTATGTAAAAACCCAACCAAGCTGGTGAGGAGTAAAACACTTCAAAGGCAATAATCCAAATAATCCAAAGGGTACAGGAAAATAAGTGTTGGAGTTCAGCCTGTGATTGTGTTTCAAAATCAAGGTGCTTTGGATGTGGGGAATGATGTCAATGAGGGTAAAAATGGCAATGGTTTGGTCAATGATATTAACGCAGAGAATGACATAGAGACACCGGCTCAAAGTGTAGTTTCCCATGAGAATGTTCCTACAGGYTATAGGGATGAGAGTTTACTCCCTGAATTGCTCCCCGAGAGTTCCCAGGATTTGGGGCTTGAAAACAATTTGGCACCTGCAGGAACTACTGAGCATATAGACAGGCGGGTGGAAATTAACCGAAACAGACAGCTCGACCAAGGCCTTCGGCGTTCTGCCAGGCTTCGACAGATAAGGATGAGAGGCATTCAGGGAAAACAAAACCAATTTCTGAGTGCTTGGAATGGCTTAATTTGAGGATATAAAGTTCCACGCATGGGAAATATAGTCAGATGAAGCATTATTTCAGATTCCTGCTAAGTTCTTGCTCTTGTCTCACGGAAGCCTTGCTTGGAAGATTCATGTTTAAGGACTTCTTGCTGTATGGTTTYACTCATGCCTTGGATCAACGTTTCCCTGTTTCTTTGGATTTTATTAGAGAAGTCTGGACTTTGTTTTTGAACTTTGCTGAACCATACCTTGGACTAATTTGAGCATGAATCCAGCATGAGCATGAATCCAGGGAAACAAGAATCAAAACATGAACATGAATCCAGAAAAGCCACACCTATAAGAACTTCTTAAAACATGAATCAAAACTCTCAGGAACTTGAATTGGAAAAAAGACTTGATATCCTTACTATTAAACAGTGTTGCCTGATCTGAAATCTCAACAAGACCCTCTCTAATTTAAGGGTTGCAAAGAATTTCTTTGACCTTGAGGTTCTGGCTTGTGAAACTTTCTCTGCACTTTTTTCTCGCAGATTCTTTAGGATTTCCTGCGCCTGATGTTTTTCTCCCTCAGATCTAGCCTGATATCCCTGTCTAACCCACCTGTTCTTTTGGACGAGCTATCTTAGTCTGCCAGGTCTTTATCAGGGGTTGCTAAGCTTCTTGGGGGCAAAAGGTCCTCTCCCTGTTTGCGGGACTCTTTCACACTCCGTCTCGCAGACAGAATCTTGCTCTGAAATCCCTTCATTTCCTTCATCAAAACAACCATCCACCACTCTCCCAGGTTCTGAAACTTCAATCCCCTCATCTTCATCTGTCTGAACCACAACAATGATTTTCTGGATTATTTTTTTCTTTCTCTCTTTATTTTCTGTCCATTTCTATGGGGTAAAACATTGTGAGAGTCTTGGGAATTGGGACACTGCTGCAGGGATTCTGTGCACCAAAAATAGGCAGGACTTTAAGCTTTGGGGACGAGTGCCACAAAACGTATCTCAAATGCTATAGTGTGCTCACACCAAATTCAAAGCAAAGGAATGGCATCTCTTTCAGCCTAAGGCCAAACCAAATTTCAAAGAGTTTTCAGGAGATGCATTCCTTTGATGGGTGGGACAAATGCGTAAGAAGCTTGCCAACTTAGGAGAGGCGTTTCAATCCTTTGGAGGATGATGTCAAATGATGATGTCATAGAGACATGTGTAAACTGGAATTACATCCAGTGATGTCATAAAGAAGGCATGGCCAAAAGAAACTCCAGACAAAGGGGACTTCATCTACAGTGTAGAACTAATGCAGGTTGACTACACATTAGCTGCCATGGTGTGGTGCGATGGAGTCCTGGGAGATGTAGTTTTTCAAGGTCTTTAGCCCTTTCTATGCCAAAGAGTCTCCTTTGGGAAAGACAAAGCAGTACCACCGGGACTGTGGCACAGCTGGCTGGGAGTCAGCTGCATTAAGACCACTACTGGTCTTGAGTTCGAAGCCAGCCTGGGACGGAGTGAGCTTCCGATCAATTTGTGTAGCTTGCTGTCGACCTTTGCAGCCCAAAAGACAGTTGCATCTGTCAAGCAGGAAATGTAGGTGCCGCTTATGCGGGGAGGCTAATTTAAGACGCCATAAAAATCTCCAGCAAGCATACAAAGAATGAGGAAGTACTTCATCAGTGTCACAAATGGATGATGAAGCGACAGCTCCCCTGGTGGCCAGAATCCCCTGATGGCCATAAGCTGGAATGTTAAATAGCCTCTGAGTTTCTGTCTATATATGTTGTGTGTCTATGGCATTGAATGTTTGTATATATGTACATTGTAATCTGCCCTGAGTCCCCTGTGGGGTGAGAAGGGCGGAATATAAATACTGTAATAATTAATTAATTAATTAATTAAATCATAATATCATGCCTTACCAAACTAAAAATCCTAGTTTTGCCCAGCATTGAGCCGTGGGAGTTAAAGGGAGYTCAACAGAATACGAAAATATCAGTCCTCAAATGGCATCACTTGTTCGGATAGCAAAGCCTCAGTGACTTGGTTGGATCGAGAAAAGCTCAATCTACATTATTATTTCTTTTCTAAGAACAGTTAACAAGAGAGCTCCATCAACAGTGCTATTCCCAGCAATATATCTCATCAGACCCATCAATATTTAACATTTTCACAAATAATCAGCAACTGCCAGAAGGGACAGAGAGTTTAATCTATGCTGATGATCGTGCCATCATCGCCCAAGAAGGGAGCTTTGAAATGGTTGAACAGAAGCTCTCTGAAGCTTTAGATGCTCCTACTGCCTATTACAGGGAAAAATCAGCTGATTCCTAATCCATCTAAAACACAGACATGTTCTTTTCATCTTAAGAACAGACAAGCATCTCGAGCTCTGAGGATGACCTGGGAAGGAATCCCACTGGAGCATTACAGCACACCCAAATAATAATAATACTAATAAAACTTTATTTATACCTCGCTACTATCTCCCCAAGGGACTCGGTGCGGCTTACAAGAAGCCACGCCCATCAATACAGTAACACAATATAACACAATAACACAACAAAAAATAAGAAAATAACATAACATAATATACAAAAGTATTATTATTATTATCATTATTATTACTAGTTGTCCCCCGCCACGCATTGCTGTGGCCCACTCTGTTGGTCAGGGGGTTCTGTGTGGGAGGTTTGGCCCAATTCTCTCATTGGTGGGGTCCTGAATGCTCTGTGACTGTAGGTGAACTACAAATCCCAGCAACTACAACTCCCTAATGTCAAGATTCTGTTTTCCCCAAACTCCACCAGTGTTCACATATTGGGCATATTGAGTATTCGTGTAGAGTTTGGACCAGATCCATCATTGTTTGGGTCCACAGTGATCTCTGGATGTAGGTGAACTATAACTCCCAAATCAAACGACACTGCCCACCAAACCCTTCCAGTATTTTCTGTTGGTCATGGGAGAACTATGTGCCAAGTTTGGTTCAATTCCATCATTGGTGGGGTTCAGAATGCTCTTTGATTGTAGGTGAACTATAAATCCCAACAAGTACAACTCCCAAATGACAAAATCAATTTTTTGAGTCAAGGACATACATTGGGTTGTTCAGTGTCTTATGTCCAAGTTTGGTGTCAATTTGTCCAGTGGTTTTTGAGTTCTGTTAATACCACAAACGGACATTACATTTTTATTTATATAGATTATTATTATTATGGCGCTGGACAGACTGCGCTCTGGCACCCCAAGATGCAGAGGCAACCTTAAGAAATGGGGCTACAAAGTGGAGCCCACGACATGAGAGTGCGGAGAAGAGCAAACCAGACTACCTATTGCAATGCACCCTGAGCCCTGCCACATGCACAATGGAGGACCTTCTCACAGCAACACCAGAGGCGCTCCAAGTGGCCAGCTTCTGGTCAAAAGACATTTAGTATAATGCCAAGTTTTAAAACTTTGTTTGTGTTTTTTTAAACAAATTACAACTGTACCCTCAATTCGCTTCTGACACAATAAATAAATCTCATCAGACCAAAACAATGAATTAAAACTTACTTTTTAATCAGCGGCTTCCAAGCCGGGCTTTGGGTACAGATCTCAACTGCAGCGCTGCTGGGGAAAGCTGTTTTCTCGAGTATCTAGGAAAAGTGGGAGAAAGCTGCTACATTTCAGCAAACTGGCAAGAGGACTGGAGTCAAAATGCTGCATTTGATAATCTATGTATTCTTCTGTTTTATTATATATTCTATTTGCTGTGTGCCATAGAAAAGAGCAGGTAAGAGTTAAGGGAGAGGCAGTGGCTGGGGCCATGCAAATTCCACACCAATGGAGAGTCAGAAACCCTGGGGTGCCTGTGGTGGAGGAAACACATAAAATCTAGGATGAAATGGTCCCCGAATGAAAGCCTTTACTTGGGTGGTGGGCAATATGATGTTTGTGGAGGACACTCCCAGGGCTCTTGTACATGTCCATTGTTGTTGTTCATTCGTTCAGTCGTCTCCGACTCTTCGTGACCTCATGGACCAGCCTACGCCAGAGCTACCTGTCGGCCGTTACCACCCCCAGCTCCCTCAAGGTCAGTCCAGTCACTTCAAGGATGCCATCCATCCATCTTGCCCTTGGTCGGCCCCTCTTCCTTTTGCCTTCCACTTTCCCCAGCATCATTGTCTTCTCTAGGCTTTGCTGTCTCCTCATGATGTGGCCAAAGTACTTCAACTTTGTCTCTAGTATCTTTCCCTCCAGTGAGCAGTCGGGCTTTATTTCCTGGAGGATGGACTGGTTGGATCTTCTCGCAGTCCAAGGCACTCTCAGAACTTTCCTCCAACACCACAGCTCAAAAGCATCGATCTTCCTTCGTTCAGCCTTCCCTAAGGTCCAGCTCTCACATCCGTAGGTGACTACAGGGAATACCATGGCTTTGACTAGGCGGATCTTTGTTGCCAGTCTGATGTCTCTACTCTTCACTATTTTATCGAGACTGGACATTGCTCTCCTCCCAAGAAGTAAGCGTCTTCTGATTTCCTGGCTGCAGTCTGCATCTGCAGTAATCTTTGCACCTAGAAATACAAAGTCTGTCACGGCCTCCACGGTTTCTCCCTCTATTTTCCAGTTGTCAATCATTCTTGTTGCCATAATCTTGGTTTTTTTGACGTTTAGCTGCAACCCGGATTTTGCGCTTTCTTCTTTCACCTTGATTAGAAGGCTCCTCAGCTCCTCCTCGCTTTCGGCCATCAGAGTGGTGTCATCTGCATATCTGAGGTTGTTGATGTTTCTTCCAGCAATTTTCACCCCAGCTTTGCATTCATCAAGCCCCGCACATCGCATGATGTGTTCTGCATACAAGTTGAAAAGGTTGGGTGAGAGTATGCAGCCTTGCCGTACGCCTTTCCCAATCTGGAACCAGTCTGTCGTGGTCAGTTCTGACTGTTGCTACTTGGTCCTTGTACAGATTCCTCAGGAGAGAGACAAGGTGGCTTGGTATGCCCATCCCACCAAGAACTTGCCACAATTTATTATGATCCACACAGTCAAAGGCTGTCCATGTCCATGGTGCTTGCTATAATCTGCAATGTCATTGGAGGGAGGGCCATTGGTGTTTCCGGAGGAGTGGGAGCTATAGTTGTTTGTGCAGGCGGGAGCTTGTCTGTGTAAGTCATTGTTTCTCAACCTGGGGGTTGGGACTCCTGGGGGGGGGGGTGCGAAGGGGTGTCAGAGGGGTTGCCAAAGACCATCAGAAAACACAGTATTTTCTATAGGTCATGGGGGTTCTGTGTGGGAAGTTTGGCCCAATTCATTGTTGGGTTCAGAACGCTCCTTGATTGTAGGTGAACTATAAATCCCAGCAACTACAACTCCCAAATGTCAAAGTCTATTTTCCCCAAACCCCATCAGTGTTCACATTTGGGCATATTGAGTATCCGTGCCAAGTTTGGTCCAGATCCATCATTGTTTGAGTGCACAATGCTCTTTGGATGTAGGCGAACTACAACTCTCAAACTCAAGGTCAATGCCTACCAAACCCTTCCAGTATTTTCTGTTGGTCATGGGAGTTCTGTGTGCCAACTTTGGTTCAATTCCATTGTTGGTGGTAAGCCGCACTGAGTCCCCCTGGGGGAGATGGAGCCGGGTATAAATAAAGTATTATTATTATTATTATTATTATTATTATTATCAAATAAAAGATCCCTTCAGCCAGGCCACGAGAGCATCCCAGCATGGATACAACCACATTTGATTAAACAATGATTCCCAGTCCCAGCATATTCTAGTTTTTGCTTTGGAAAACCTAAAGATTCCTAGCGAGGTGTCCACAAGGAATGTACTGTGTCCTCCCACGCAGTTCTATCGTAACTTATGGGGAAAATATACCATAAAATTGTCCAGAAGAGGTTACAAATTCCCGAAGGAGTCAAGGATGACATATGGTCTCTACCTTCTTGGGCACAAGGTGGTTCATGAGGGCTGTGTGAACCTCGGCCGAAAGGCACAAGGGGGACAGCAACTTCTCCCCTTCTTCGTAGCTGTTCTCCATGAAATTATCACTCTCGTCGCTGCTGGATAACTCTTCCCACTCATCATCGGAAGGATCTGCAAACATGCAACACAGGCATCAAAAGAAAATCTCGAGCCTCTTTCACATTGTTCAATTAAAGCACGGATTCAACTTGATCAGCTGTGTAATTGTGGAAATACCGCATATACCCGAGTATAAGCCGATCCAAATATAAGCCGAGGCACCTAATTTTACTACAAAAAAACTGGGAAAACGTARTGACTGGAGTATAAGCCYAGGMTGGAAAATGCAGCAYKTACTAGCAAATTTAAAAATAAAWATAGATACCAATACAATTACATTAATTGAGGCTTCAGTAGGTTAAATGTTTTTGAATATTTACATAAAACTGTAATTTAAGATACAACTGTRCAACTCTGATTAAACCATTATTCTAACCTTCTTACGTATCCTTCCAATAATAATAAAGAGAGCAAAATAATAAATGTAATAACAATAATAATAATAGAGTGAACGAATGGAAATGTAATAACAGTAATAATAYAGTAAAATAATAAATGTAATAATAATAAAGTAAAATAATYTATATAATAATCATAGAATCATAGAGTTGGAAGAGACCTCATGGGCCATCCAGTCCAAACCCTTGCCAAGAAGCAGGAAAATTGCATTCAAAGCAACCCAGACAGACAATAATTATTAGACTAAAATACCGTATATACTCGAGTATAAGCTGACCCGAATATAAGCCGAGGCACCTAATTTTACCACAAAAAACTGAGAAAACTGATTGACTCGAGTATAAGCCGAGGGTGGGAAATGCAGCAGCTACTGGTAAATTGCAAAATAAAAATAGATACCAATTAAATTACATTAATTGAGGAATCAGTTATATAATTTTGAATATTTACAAAAATGGTAATTTAAGATAAGACTGTCCGACTCTGATTAAATGATTATTTACCTTCTTCAGTGTAAATGTGCTTACGTATCCTTCCAATAATTATAAAGAGAGTAACATAACAAATGTAATAATAACAATAATAAAAAGAGTAAAATAATAAATGTAGCTATAACAACAATTATACAGTAAAATATAAATGTATAATAATAGAGTAAAATGATAAATGTAATAACAATAAATAATAATAAATAAACAATAAATAACAATAAATAATAAATGAAATAATAAATGAAATAATAATAATAATAATAGAATAAAATAATAAATAACCTTGACTCGAGTATAAGCCGAGGGGGACTTTTTCAGCCTAAAAAAGGGGCTGAAAAACTAGGCTTATACTCGAGTATATACAGTAATACATATAACAATAATAAAGTAAAATAATAAATTGAATAATAATAACAAATAAAGTATTAAATGTAATAATAATAATAATAATGGAGTAAAATAATGAAAATGTAATAATAATAATAGAGTAAAATAATAAATGTAATAATAATAATAATTAATAATAATAATAATAGAATAAAATATATAAATAAAAAAATGGAAATGTTCATTTGTGGAATTAACCTAACTCAAAAACCACTGGACAAATTGACACGAAATTTGGTCACTACATCCCTAACATACCAGGTTGGGGGTCACCATAACATGAGGAACTGTATTACCTCATGTTATGGTGACCCCCAGTAGCACCGGGATTGTGGCAGCTGGCTGAGTGTCAGCTGCATTAAGATCACTCTGACCAAAAAGGTCATGAGTTCGAAGCCAGCCCGGGTTGGAGTGGGTTTCCAACCATTTGTGTGTAGCCTGTTGTCGACCTTTGCAACCCGAAAGACAGTTGCATCTGTCAAGTAGGAAAATAAGGTACCACCTTAAAGTGTGGGGAGGCTAAATTAACTTAATTATGAGGCCATAAAGAAGACTCCAGCAAAGCATTCCAGCGGGGAAGCATGCGGGGAATGCGGAAGTGCTTCATCAGCGTTGCAGATGGACGATGAAAGCGAAAGCTCCCCTGGCAGCCAGAAAAAGTTAAATAGCCTCTGTGTATGTCTGTATATGTTTGTATGTCAAAATTGGCATTGAATGTTTGCCATATATGTGTACACTGTAATCCGCCCTGAGTCCCCTGCGGGGTGAGAAGGTCGGAATATAAAAGCTGTAAATAAATAAATAAATAAATAAATAAATAAAGGGGTCGTGGTATAAGGAAGGTGGAGAACCACTGTGCCAGTACCAAATAATCAACAAGCCAACATATATACATACCCTCATTGCAGCACATATTGACAATGATTTCCAGGGCTGTCTGCTGAGCCAGAAGTAAAGCTGCTACTTGCTTCACCTCCTGTGTGTTGCACTACAAAACAAAATGTCACAGCCATCTACTATTTGTCATATMACTTTTGCATCAAGATAAGTATTGAAGTGCTATCTACTCAGACTTGGAAAACCTTTTCCAAGGACTCTCTGACAAGATATCTTTCCCAGTCAATTCCTATCGACTTGACTTCAAATTAGGGCAATCCAATGGAAGAGAGACCTTCAAGATGCCTTGTCAGTAATAGGAGTTGATAACTGAGGATCTTAAGGCAGTTGATRATTGGGGATCTTAGAAGTCTCTCATTCATAAGGTCAAAGGGATATCTAGTGGTCAACCCACCCAAAGAACAACTGAGTTCATAGCCATATTAAGGCATCTTAAAGTCACCRCGCCCGGCCTATAAAGTAAAAGGCCAGATATTGCTGGTGACTCTTTCTCTATGAATAAGTCATACTTGTAAACATTGTCAGAAATATTAAAATTAAGTAGGTATTTTTAATTACAAAAATCTGAGTCAAGCATTGAAAGGATTAAATGAATACAATGACTCAGCAAAAGCTGCAGTTCAATATAAGCAGGTGTGCCTGAAGCTTACTCATCTCAGTCTGTGAAAGAGGAGGCCTCAGTGTGTTAGTAGGCCTCAGTATGAAGAGACCTCAGTGTTAGTTTGCCTTAGTATGTGAGAGGCGTCAGTCTGGGAGAGCTCTTAGTGTGAGAAGGCCTCAGTGTTAGTAGGCCTCAGTATGAGAATTCCTCAGTTTGAGAGGAAGCTCCAGTGTGAAGGCAGCTGTGTGTAAMGCTACTGTGTGAAGATCCTGTTTAACTTCGTTGYGAGCAGAGGTTCTGTGAKAGCAAAGCTGTTKATYTGCATGAGAAAGAAGCCCAGCATGGAAGCAAAGAAGGAAGTATAAAAAAATCTGTGTAAATAGTGCAACCATATTATTTTGCTATAAAGAAAACCTCTTATGGAAGATATAACATTGGTTTGTGTGTTTTTTTGTTCTTTTTATCGCTTTGGGCTACTGGTGCTGGGTCACACTGCTGTACATTTATGGGGAGGGTCTTTTGGTAATAAGCCCACTCACTCAACAAACGTAGCTATGGATGTGCGCACAACTCAGGACAGGAACCTTCCAAAAAACATTGCTGCCTTTCTGAATGGCATTTTCCTCCATTTTCATAATCTCACTAAAAAACCAATCAAAATCCTTATGCCCTCAGTTGGTCTCCATAGTATCTAGCACCCAAAGAACTAGCATGAACTCACTGGAAGCAGATCCGAGACATCGTTTTGCCTCTTGACTGCTTCTTTTGGCCCTTCCTCCATCTCTTCGTCTTCTTTAAGGACTGTGTTGTCCACCTCCGCCACATTTCCCTCCGGTTGTGACTCGGCGGAGCTTTTCAACCTCTCCGTTTCTACCTCCTTCATCTTGAGGACAGTCTCCCCAGCGTCTATGGCTAGGCATTCGGAGAAGATTTTCAGGATGGCATTGATGGAACCGGCTTGGCTACCGGAAGGGAGGGTGTTCTTTATATTCCAAGTGACACCTTAAGCAAGGAAGAGGAAAAAGGAGACATCAGCCACCAAGATGGGACAACGGAGCATCCGTAGGACAGGACAGCAAAACAAAGGTGGTAGCCAGCGGCTAGGTCAAGATATTTTATATTTCCATTCATTTTCTGCAACCTTATGGAACAATCTCATGTATCTTTACTAATAAGTTTTTTTTAAAGGAAGATGTTAATTATTTCATCTACCAATACCCCCTATATCCGCAGGATCCTTACCTGCGATTTCACTTATCCACATCCAAGAAAATATGTTTGCATTTTATAACATCCTCCAGCATAACTTTATAGCAGGTATGGGTAAAACAGGCCCAGGGGCCAGATGTGGCCCCTTAGGATCTCTTCTCAGTCCCTCCCCCCTCTCTATCCTATCCTTCCTTCCTCCCTTTTCTTTCCTTCCTTGCCTGCCTATTTCTCCCTCCTTCCTTCTTTTCCACCCTTTTGTCCTTCCTTTCTTCTCTCCATTCCACCCTTTCTTCCTTCTATCCTTCCCTTCTACCCTTTCGTCCTTCTTTCCCTCCCTTTTGTCTTTCCTTCCTCCTTCCCTCTCTCCCTTTCTTATCTCCTTCCCTCCCACCTTTATGTCTTTCCTTTCTTTCCTTCCTCCTTCCTTATCRCTCTCCTTCCTTCCTTGTGTTTGGCTATGGGAGCTAATAATAATAGTATTAACAACAACAACAACAACAACAACAACTTTGGGGGACTAAACAGGACCTTACAAAGGATTGTTTTCCCATTACAACTCTTGTGTTTGGCAATGGGAGCTAATCATCATCATCATCATCATAACAACAACAACAACAATTTTGGGGGACTAAACAGGGTCTTACAAAGGGTTGTTCCCATTACAACTCTTGTGTTTGGCTATGGGAGCTAATCATCATCATCATCGTAATAATCATAACAACAACAACTTTGGGGAACTAAACAGAGTCTTACAAAAGGCTGCTTTCCCATTACAACTCTTGTGTTTGGCTATGGGAGCTAATCATCATCATCATCATCATCATCAMCAMCAMCAGCAGCAGCAGCAGCAGCATAACAYCAACAACAATTTTGGGGGACTAAACAGGATCTTACAAAGGGTTGCTTTCCCATTACAACTCTTGTGTTTGGCTATGGGAGCTAACAATAATCATCATCATKATKATKATKATCATCATCATCATCATKARAACAACAACAACTTTGGGGGAATAAACAGGGTCTTACAAAGAGCTGCTTCCCCATTACAACTCTTGTGTTTGGCTATGGGAGCTAATAATCATAATCATAATCATAACAACAACAACTTTGGGGGACTAAACAGGGTCTTACAAAAGGCTGCTTTCCCATTACAACTCTTGTGTTTGGCTGTGGGAGCTAACAACAACAACAACAACTTTGGGGACTAAACAGGGTCTTACAAAGAGTTGCTTTTCCATTACTACTCTTGTGTTTGGCTATGGGAGCTAATCATTATCATCATCATCATCATCATCACAACAACAACAACTTTGGGGGACTAAACAGGATCTTACAAAGGGTTGCTTTCCCATTACAACTCTTGTGTTTGGCTATGGGAGCTAATAATAATCATCATCATCATCATCATAACAACAACAACAACTTTGGGGGACTAAACAGGGTCTTACAAAGGGCTGCTTTCCCATTACAACTCTCGTGTTTGGCTATGGGAGCTAATAATAATGGCCCACGGGTTGGAAACCACGGGTCTAAAGGGACTTTGTGGTCATGGGGGCTAGAAATTCTAAGAGCTCTCATCATTGCAAGAAAGTAATGCTTCCAAGCTCGGATTAAAGATTTTTCTTCAGGAAAGCAGTTCCGAAATGGGTTGTTGGGATGGGAAAGGACTTTTTTTTAGGACAAAGTAAGTTTGTTACACTGGCTCTCAGAAGTGTGCAAACCACTGGGCAAATACCCCAGCACAACAAGGTCAAAATGGCACGGGAGCAGGGATAAGTAATGCAGCTATTGCCATTGACCGATATCCCTGATTTTTGCATCACAAAACTATAAAGCGACCACCACAAATGATGTGCTGCCCATCGTACAATTCCGAACCTCAATGCACCCAAGGAGCCTTCTCTTGCCAAGGCGGCAGCCCTGTCTGCGGCATCAACGCAGTTAAAGCGCAGATTGGGTTGCATTGCCAGCATGTCTCCAAGTCCCAGGGGGGTGAAGTCATAATTAAAACAACTTCACAAGCCTCCACAAAAACGATCTCCTCTCGAGACAACGGCAGAGAGGCGGAATCTGGGTAGAATCCTATAGGGACACGCTTTGCAAGCTGTTTAGTGAACAGCAAGCTAATGGCGCACTCTAAATGTTGTGGGACATATAATAAAGTAATTGATGGAGCATGCTGTGCTCGGTGGGCGGGCGGAGACTTAATAGCTAGATTAGACTACAGGCAGTCCCTGAGTTACAAACATTTGATTTAGAAACGACTCCTGGTTAAGAACAGGGGTGAGACAACAGAAAGTGAGATAAATCTTCTGCTCAGAAGGGAAATCAACTCCTGAAAGAGTTATTATCGGGGGGAAGGGAGTCTCCGCTGACGCTTTCTCCCCAATCCTAGTTTCTACAACAAGCCACATTTTTCAAAATCCAGTGATCACAGTGCTGGTTTTAATCTACAAAACCCTCTACGGCTCAGACTCAGTTTACCTAACCAAATGTATCTTCTCCTATAAGCCATCGAGGACTTTTAAGATCTTTCGGAGAGGTCCTGATCTCAGTCCCAGCACCTTTGCAGGCGCATTTGGTGGGAACAAGAGACAGGGCCTTCTCTGTGGTGGCCCCCCAGCTATGGAACTTTCTCCCTGGCGAGATTAGGTGTGCTCCCTCTCTCCTGTCCTTCAGGAAGCAGCTAAAATCCAAGCTGTGGAGTCAGGCATTTGCAGACTGACGGATGATAGAGTTATTTGGCCACGACGTTTTGGATTTAGTTGGATGTTGTTTTAATGTGATGAATTGTTTTTATATGTATTTTAGAACTTATTGATTGTATGTTGTTTTATGATACTATTTATTTTATAGCATTGAATTTTGCTGTTAGCCGTTCTGAGTCCCTCTGCGGAGGTAGAGAAGAACAAGATACAAAAGTTCTAAATTTATATAAATAAAAATGTAATGTTCATTTGTGGGATTAACATAACTCAAAAACTACTGGACGAATTGACACCAAATTTGGACACAATGCACCTATCAGGCCAATGAGTGATTATCACTTATAAAAACACAGCAGAAGAGACTTAAAAAGCAACCCCCCCCAAAAAAAAATACATTACAACACATGTACAAAACTACATATATACACTAACACACATATATACACACATATACACAAATATATATACACACATATACACATATATATACACACAAAACACATATACGCAGACTGGGCCACAGCAACGCATAGCTGGGGACGGCTACTAATGTAATATAATATAATATAATTTATATACATATAATATTTATAATATTATAATGTAATATAATATAATACTACTACTAATAATAATACACTATTATAATTGTATATTTTATATTACATGTAATATTATTAATAATATTACAATATAATGGTATAGTAAAATATAGTAATATATAATACTGATATTGTACGATGCTAATAATGTAATATATTGTATGTATATATATCTCGTAAGCCGCTCTGAGTCCCCTTCGGGGTGAGAAGGTTGGAATATAAATGTAGTAAATAAATAAATTGATAAATTAAAAACCTGCCTGCCACCAGCGTCTGTAAGAGAATGTGCTCCATGGTTTTTTCAGAAGATACCATGACCGCTTCCAGGACCTGTTGTGCCGAAGCGTCAAAGGACGCAAGGAGGTCAGGGTTATCTTCTGTCACTGCTTGCAAACAGGATGCTGTGGGGACAGGAAGACATTAGCAACTGAGGTCACAAATCCAAGTTATGTGTCAGTACTTCAGCTGCAAAAGGATCCTATCTAGTGCAAGAAATGTTGTTCCACAAAACCCAGTTCCCTCTTTCTATCCTCGTATGTGGCTATGCTTTATATCAATGACTTCAACGACAGAATACAAGGCAGGTTTTGTTGGGCAAGTGGGCCCAACCAATATCCTACTGATAAATGCACAGCTGAGTATCGAGGACCTTAATATCATCTGGAGAGGCCCTGCTCTCGGTCCCGCCATCATCACAAGCACGGCTGGTGGGGACAAGAGACGGGGCCTTCTCAGTGGTGGCCCTTTGGCTATGGAACGCCCTTTCTGTAGAGATTAAATCAGCTTCTTCGCTTTTAGCATTTCGGAAAAAACTCAAGACATGGCTACTTGAGCAGGCATTTGCGAATACTGAGTAACGGACATAAGAACGGAATCAACTACAAGATATTCAATGTATTGTTGAAGGCTTTCATGGCCGGAATCACTGGGTTGTTGTAGGTTTTTTCGGGCTATATGGCCATGGTCGACGTTTCGCCTACATCTATGGCTTCCCCTCAAGTTGCATTGACCGATCGTCTGCACAGGGTTCTATACTTTGCACTTTAACAACACAACCGTTCAATGCTAAAACTTCCCGTCAAAATGGAACTGTAGAGGAGAGTCTACTGAACAAGCCAGTACCTGCCGTATACTAGTACTGCCATCTGTTGAGGAGTTACGAAGGTGGAGGCATCACTTTTCATTCAACCCTTGTATATGGGAATAAAACATGTTCCTGTACTCACCTGCCGCAATGGCCAGGCCCACATTGGCATGAAACCTCTTCAGATACTGCAGCAAAATAGGCAAGCAGCCTTCTTTGTTGAAGATAGATACTGCTGTGCTGTTGCACTCGCTAGCAGAGAAAAGGAAAGGAGATTTAGTCAACAACCATGGAATCACACTGGGCCCTTAGTGGGATCTGCTGGATTAATTCTCCTCAATGTTGCTGCTGTGCCATGAGACACACCTGCCTCTATGTCCATCAGCAAATGGGCTTCTCAGATGGAACTCACCAGACATTCCAGAGCAGGTTCACCGCCTCGTAAGCAATGTCTTCAACATAGTTCTTGTTGGAGTCTTTGGCATCCTTTAGTGAGCCGTTGCTTTCCTCAAGGCCTGCCCGACACTTGTTTTTGATGACAGTCCAAAAAAAAAATGTTAAAAATGTGGATTAGAAACCAATAGCAGAATGAACCAAAACAGTGTAGGTGGTGTCTTCACTGACAAATTAAAGCAGTTTCACGCCGCTTGAACTGCCATGGCTCCATGCTATYGAAACTTGTGAGTTGTGCTTTGACAAGCTTTCCATCCCTCTCTGCTAAGAATGCTGATGCCTCACTAAATTATGAGGGTTGAATGAAAAGTAATGCCTCCACCTTCGTAACTCCTCAATAGATGGCAGTACTGGTATGCGGCAGGTACTGGCTTGTTCAGTAGACTCTCTACAGTTTCATTTTGGCGGGAAGCCTTAGCATTGAACAGTTGTGTTGTTAAAATGCGAAGTATGGAACCCTGCACAGTTGGTCAAATGCGATTTAAGCAACYTGCAGTCATTCAATTCTTGACAGCAGAAGGTGTCACCTCAACTATGCTAATAATGTAATATATTGAATGTATATATATCTTGTAAGCCGCTCTGAGTACCCTTCGGGGTGAGAAGGGTGGAATATAAATATCGTAAATAAATAAATTGATAAATTAAAAACTTGCCTGCGACCAGCATCTGTAAGATAATGTGCTCCATGGTTTTTTCAGAAGATATCATGACTGCTTCCAGGACCTGCTGCGGCAAAGCGTCAAAAGATGCAAGGAGGTCAGGATCTTTACTCACCCAATGACACACAGTACTCACATCAACACAATCACCATAAACAGCTTGCATTCTCTGATGAATCTCCTTTGGGGTGACACCTTCTGCTGTCAAGAATTCAATGACTGCACGTTGCTTAAGTCGCATTGACCGACCATCTGCGCAGGGTTCCATACTTTGCACTTTAACAACACAACCATTCAATGATAAGGCTTCCTGCCAAAATGGAACTGTAGAGGAGAGTCTACTGAACAAGCCAGTACATGCCGCATACCTGTACTGGCTCTGAGTAGTATATTTCTACAGTGCCTTCCTTCCTTCCTGGGAGTTGAACTTGCTGCCTTTTCCCTCCTTCTGCCACTGCCTACATAGAGTTACAGTACTGTAGTTGGTCAACAACATTTAAGGTTGAATCTCTAAACAACTCCAGCAAGAATGACCTGTCTTGAGTTGCCCTCCAAAAACAGCCTTCAAACAATGTTGAAAGTAAAAGAAAAATGCTTTACTTCAGCAAACACAAAGGATAAGCAAATGCAATGGAAAAGTGKAAAAGAAAACAAGGAAGTCTTAATCCAGACACAAATTAAAGTCTCTTACAAAGTCCCAAAAGAAACACCAGTCTTCCATCAGAAAACGTTCAATGAACTAAGTCCTTAGCAGCAGACACAAAGCAGATTCCGTTTGAGTGAAAACAGCACTATCAGGGTCGTTGTTACCAGCAAAAGCTGACTGCTCCTGCCTCTGATTTATAGCCCTGAATTCCTCATGCAGGAGTCTCCCAATTAGCTCAGCGTTTTTAGCAGCTATTCTGCTAGGGAGTCTTCCAATTAGCTCAGCGCTTTTCGCAGCTAGTCTGGCTGAACGGTGTCTGTGCTCTGTCTCTTTTTGTCTCTCTAGAAATGTGGGCATTTTCAAACCCTCATTGTTTGATTCTTCTTCTCCCTCCAAATCCCGAGCACTTCTCTGCTCCCCTTCCTCTTCCTAAGATGAGGAATCCCTAACATGACGAAAGCTAGCGGAATTGCAGGGGATAGAAACATTCTCCATCTGAGTAAATGGTTCTCATAGGATTTAAACCCAGGACTTCCCAATTTACAGGTTGAGAAACACTGCTATAGATCCATATCTATCTTTGGAGGCGCTCTCCTCTCCAAAGTCAGGGCATTGCGCATCTCCTGCCGACTTTTTTGGCTCTTCTGGCGTCTCCAAACGTGGAGGAGATGTAGATCTCCAAAGGCTTCTCTTCCCCAGAGTGTTGGCACTGCAAACTACGAATCCCAGGATGACATAGCCTTGAACCCTGGCTTGGAAGTGTTTATGTATCTATGTTTGTGGATGATTTCCAAGATGGCTCCCACTTCTGTGACTCCCACCAATGACGGATCTGGATCAAACCTTGCACACAAACACCCCATGACCAACAGAAAACACTGGATGGGTGTGGGGAGAGTTTGTTATAGTAAGTTGTAACAGGATCAAGTATGTGTGTGTGTTAAAGAAAACCTTATACCAGTGTTTCTCCACCTTCCTAATGCCGTGACCCCTTAATGCAGTTCCTTATGTTGTGGTGACCCCCAACCATAAAATTATTTTCGTTGCAACTTCATAACTGTCATTTTGCTACTGTTAAGAATCATCATGTAAATATCTGATATGCAGGATGTATTTTCATTCACTGGACCAAATTTGGCACAAATACCCAAGGCCCTCTCTCCTTTTTCAGAGTTCCATTTGTGAGCCACAGCCATGTTTTTTCTTTGTCAATTTGGCTCTCAATTTTTCCCAGGAACTGTCCATGGAGAGCCTTCTTTTGCCAGTTTTCTCTTCTGCTCTGCATTGTATTTTTACGGTATTCACTCTTTGTCTTTTGCACTTGAAGCAGTTTACTACTATTGACTTCCCTCAATGTTGGTTCTTGACTGCCTTTCACATAATCTGCCAGTGCATGTTTCTCTTCCTCTACTGTTTGTGTCACTTGCAGATGCCCTCTCTCTGCCTCCTGATTTTCTGGGCAGGTTCATAGAATCATAGAATCAAAGAGTTGGAAGAGACCTCATGGGCCATCCAGTCCAACCCCCTGCCAAGAAGCAGGAATATTGCATTCAAATCACCCCTGACAGATGGCCATACAGCCTCTGTTTAAAAGCTTCCAAAGAAGGAGCCTCCACCACACTCCGGGCAGAGAGTTCCACTGCTGAACGGCTCTCACAGTCAGGAAGTTCTTCCTCATGTTCAGATGGAATCTCCTTTCTTGTAGTTTGAAGCCATTGTTCTGTGTCCTAGTCTCCATGGAAGCAGTAAACAAGCTTGCTCTCTCCTTTCTATGACTTCCTCTCACATATTTATACATGGCTATCATATCTCCTCTCAGCCTTCTCTTCTTCAGGCTAAACATGCCCAGCTCCTTAAGCCGTTCCTCATAGGGTTTGTTCTCCAGACCCTTGATCATTTTAGTCGGCCTCCTCTGGACACATTCCAGCTTGTCAATATCAAGTCTATCAACATAACTACGCGGGTGTAATACATAGTGGATTGTCATCAGTTTTATTTGTTTTTCTGTCCAGATCATCCAGCTCTGCTTGTGTCCAGGTCACATTTCCAACAGTGTATCTAATGACAGGGATGGCCTAGGTGTTGATAGCCTTGATCGTATTTCTGCCATTTAAATTGCTATTCAGAACTTTTCTGATTCTTTGGACATATTCTTTGCTGACCACATTTTTCACTTCCCCATGCTTGATATTGTCCAACTGTAGTATGCCCAGATATTTATAGGCTTCAGGTTGATTGCACTTTACGGTTTGTCTATTTGGCATCTCTATGCCCTCGCTGTGGGCAATTTTCTCTTTCTTTAATGCCACTGTGGCACATTTGTCTAGGCCAAACTCCATGCTGATGTCGGTACTGAAGATTCTGACTGTGTTGGTCAGTGACTCGATTTCAGTTTCTGATTTTCCGTAAAGTTTTAGATCATCCATGTACAGCAAGTGGGAAATTTTTGGTGAATTTCTTGCTGTTTGGTAGCCCAGGTTTGCTTTCTGTAGAATTACTGACAGTGGGATCATTGCAATGAAGAACAGCAGTGGTGACAGTGAGACGCCTTGGAAAATTCCTCTCTTGATGTTAACAGTTCCATAGCTTTCGTTGCCCACAAACAACTCAGTTTTCCATTGTTTCACTGCATTTTCAGTTAACTTTCTAATATTTTCACAAACCCCAATGACATCTAGACATTTGATAATCCAACAATGTGGCAATGAGTCAAATGTTGTTTTTTTTTTGTAATCAATCCAAGTTGTGTAGAGGTTTGTTTTGCGGCTTTTGCAATTCTTCAGTATCATTTTGTCAATTAGAAGCATATCTTTCATGCCCCTACTTCTTCTTTTATTGCCTTTTTGTTCTACTGGCAAGATGTAGACCACACCTGGAATATTGCATCCAATTCTGGGCACCACAATTCAAGAGAGATATTGACAAGCTGGAATGTGTCCAGAGGAGGGCGACTAAAATGATCAAGGGTTTGGAGAACAAGCCCTATGAGGAGCGGCTTAAGGAGCTGGGCATGTTTAGCCTGAAGAAGAGAAGGCTGAGAGGAGATATGATAGCCATGTATAAATATGTGAGAGGAAGCCACAGGGAGGAGGGAGCAAGCTTGTTTTCTGCTTCCCTGGAGACTAGGACGGAACAATGGCTTCAAACTACAAGAGAGGAGATTCCATCTGAACATGAGGAAGAACTTCCTGACTGTGAGAGCCGTTCAGCAGTGGAACTCTCTGCCCTAGAGTGTGGTGGAGGCTTCTTCTTTGGAAGCTTTTAAACAGAGGCTGGATGGCCATCTGTCAGGGGTGATTTGAATGCAATATTCCTGCTTCTTGGCAGGGGGCTGGACTGGATGGCCCATGAGGTCTCTTCCAACTCTTTGATTCTATGATTCTATGTTATTTTCCTCCAAGTAATCCTGGATTTGATCAGCTATTATGCCTGTCAGCAGTTGTTGTTGTTGTTATGATTCTCTCCAGAATGAGACTCAGGTCCCTTTTACACTGCCATATAATCCAAATTATCAAAACGGATAGTCCATGATATCTGCTTTGAACTGGATTATATGAGTCTACACCAGTGGTTCTCAACCTTCCCAATGCCGCAACCCCTTAATACAGTTCCTCATGTTGTGGCGACCCCCAACCATAAAATTATTTATGTTGCTACTTCATAACTGTAATTTTGCTACTGTTATGAATCATATGTAAATATCTGATATGCAGGATGTATTTTCATTCACTGGACCAAATGTGGCACAAATACGCTATGCCCAAATTTGAATACTGGTGGGGTTGGGTGGGATTGATTTGTCATTTGGGAGTTGTAGTTGCTGGCATTTATAGTTCACCTACAATCAAATAGCATTCTGTACTTCGCTAAAGATGGAATTAAACCAATCTTGGCATACAGAATACCCATGACCAACAGAAAGGGTTTGGTGGGCACTGACCTTGAGTTTGGGAGTTGCAGTTCATCTACATCCAGAGAGCATTATGGACTCAAACAATGATGGATCTAAACCAAACTTGGCACGGATACTCAATATGCCCAAATGTGAACACTGGTGGAGTTTGGGGAAATATACCTTGGCATTTGGGAGTTGTAGTTCTGGGATTTATAGTTCACCTTCAATTAAAGAGCATTCTGAACCCTACCAAGTATAGAATTGGGCCAAACTTTCCACACAGAACCCCTAGGACCAACGAAAAATACTGTGTTTTCTGGTGGTCTTTGGCGACCCCTCTGACACCCCCTCATGACCCCCCCAGGGGTCCCGACCCCCAGGTTGAGAAACACTGGTCTACACTGTTATCTAATCCAGTTCAAAACATATAATCTGGATTTTATATGGCCATGCAGAAGTGGCCTCTAAGTGCAAATCCCATAAACTGGGTGGTAAGAAAGGATCCCAAGCCATAAACAATAGGAAGGACACATTTCTAGGAGCTGCTAGGAAAGGTATGGACTCTTCCAAAGTATATTGCTCTGGCTGTTTGTAAACAGAAGCTGCATGGGAGTGCTTTTATTGGGTGTCTCTTCCTTATAGAATGGGGTTGGGCTGGATGGCCTTTGGGGACCCCTTCCAACTCTAGGATTTTGCCTTAGATGTTATACTACTCACCGAAGCGCTCCCGTTGCTGTCTCTCGAACTGCCAGGCTCTGATCGAGCAGCATGGGCCCCAAACACCGGACCACGTCCCTCTGCACAAAAGCCGGAATTGTCTGTTTCTGCTGCAAGAGCTTGGAAATGCTGGCGCAAGCAAATTCCCGAACGTCAGCGCTGGGGTGCTGCAGCTACAAAGAGGAAAGAAGGGGCACGGTTTGAGGGATACGGGTGCCAGGTAACCCAAAGTAGCAAGATCCCTTCGCCAACGGCTTACGGGACTTAGCTGTAGGACGTTATGTGTTGGAGGAGATGGCAAGGACCTTCTCTGCGGTGGCCCCCGGTTTGACAATATCTACTCTTTAGTGGCCTGATTGGAACCAATATGCACAAATCTACACATTTTAGACAATAAACCAACCCAAAAACATCAGGTTCGATTAAACTTCGGCCCTCCCGGTGTTTTGGACTAACAGGAATTGTGGGAGTTGAAGTCCAAAACACCAGGAGGGCCGAAGTTTGCCATGCCTGCTCAAAGCTTTCAGATACGAGGATTTTCCAATGCAGCCTAGGCTCCACACTGCTGTATAATCCAGATTATAATAGACTTCAGTCTAAACAGTCTAAACTGCTAGATAATCCAGTTCAAACCAAAGAATCTGGTTTGTAGTGTAGATGGGGCCCTTGAACTGCTAGGGATTAAACCTGGGGATTTCTACCTGCAACCCCAGACCCTTTCTACACTACCATATATAATCCAGATTACCTGCTTTGAACTGGATTATATGGTAGTGTAAACTCCTATAATCCAGTTCAAAGCAGACGTAGATCATCTGCTTTAATAATCTGGATTATACGGCAGTGAAGAATCCTATAATCAAGTTCAAAGCAGATCCGAATCATCTGTATAATAGTTTGGATCATATGGCAGTGTAGAAAGGGCCTCTGGATAATATGGCAGTGTAGACGCATATTCCAGTTCAACACACATGTGAATTGTCTGCTTTGATAATCTGAATCATATGGCAGTGTAGACTCATATAATCGGGTTCAAAGCAGATATGCATCATCTGTTTGATAACCTGGCTCATAGAGCAGCGTAGAAGGGGCCTCTGGATTATATGCAGTCAGGCATGTAGCCGGGGGGGGGCTCGGGGGGCTTCAGCCCCCCCCCCGAAATTCTCATGGTGGTTCGCGAAAAGGCCTTACTGGTGCATTATTTAAACTGTTATGTTTATTAATATCATGATTTGATCACCATTCTCAATATATCCCATATGTATGGGGGTATTGGGGTAATGATACAAAAGGTTTGCTAGGCTAGACCCTCTTTCACTCAGACTCAGCCCCCCCCGAAACTCAGCCCCCCCCCGAAACCCCCCCTGAAAATTTTTTAGCCCCCCCCCCTCCCCCCGAAACGAAAGCCTCTGGATTATATGCAGTGTAGACTCATACAATCCAGTTCAAAGACGATGTGGATTATCTGCTTTGCTAATTTGGATTCTATGGCAGTGTAGACTCATAATCTGGTTCAAAGCAGATGTGGATGATCTGCTTTGATAATCTGGATTATATGGCAGTGTAGACTCATATGATCCAGTTTAAAGCATATATGAATCATTTGCTTTGATCATCTGGATGATATGGCAGTGTAGACTCATATGATCCAGTTCAAAGCAGAAGTGGATCATCTGCTTTGATAATCTGGATTATATGGCAGTGTCAGGGGGAAACCACCTTCCCCTTCTCCCTAACCATAGCTCAGCACAGCAGAATTCCTATTGCTGGCTGGACCCTGCAGTATCCCTGTGGCCAGCCTTTCTTTGCAGCTTACTTTCTCCAGGAGCTCCTCGGCTGGGGACCCGCCTTCCTCCTCCTCTCCTTCCTCCTTCTCCTGGTCCTTCTCCTGGCCCATCTTCCCCACCGCGGGGCTGTAGGGAGCCTGCCGGAACCGCCTGGCCTTGCTTTTGCCCATGATCCCGGAGGGAGACCCCAGGAAGGAGGCGGAAAGCGGGGACCAGGCCGGCCTCTTCCCCCCTCCTCCTCCTCCTCCTCTTCCCCAGTTCCCACGTGTGCGGCTCCTGCGCATGCGCCACGCAAAGGCCCAGCACAGCTCTGCCCAGAGGCTGCAAATACACTCCCTTCTCTTCCGGACTACAGCTCCCAGCATCCCCTACACCAGGCCCTTTAGGGGAGGAGGAGGCTCCAAATGCACTGCTTTGAAACTGCAAGCATTCTTCTCCTTGGATTTCTTTAAGAGCATCCCAATCCATGCAGATTTCCAATTGCCTGTTATTGGACTGCAACTCCCAGGTAGATAGATAGGTAGATAGATAGGTAGATAGATACACAGGCGGGTAGCTAGGTAGATAGCTAGGTAGATAGCTAGGTAGGTAGATAGATAGATAGATAGACAGACAGACAGACAGACAGACAGACAGACAGATGGGTAGATAGGTGTATAGGTAGGTAGATGGGTAGGTAGATAGGTAGATAAGGTAGGTAGGTAGGTAGATATATAGGTGGGTAGATAGGTGGATAGGTAGATAGCTAGATAGATAGATAGATAGATGGGTAGATAGGTGTATAGGTAGGTAGATGGGTAGGTAGATAGGTAGGTAGATAAGATAGGTAGGTAGATAGATATATAGGTGGATAGATAGATGGATAGGTAGGTAGATGGGTAGGTAAATAGGTAGGTAGATGGGTAGGTAGGTAGATAGATAAGATAGGTAGGTAGGTAGTTAGATATATAGGTGGGTAGATAGGTAGGTAGATAGGTGGATAGGTAGATAGGTAGGTAGGTAGGTGGATATGTATATAGGTAGGTAGATAGGTGGACAGGTAGGTAGGTAGGTAAGTAGGTGGATATGTATATAGGTGGGTAGATAGGTGGACAGGTAGGTAGGTAGATAGGTAGGTAGATGGGTAGGTAGATAGGTAGATAGATTAGGTAGGTAGGTAGGTAGATAGATATATAGGTGGGTAGAGAAGTGGGTAGATGGGTAGGTAGGTAGGTAGACATGTAGATAGGTAGGTAGATATGTAGACAGGTAGGTAGGTAGGTAGATAAATAAGATAGATAACATAGAAAGATAGATAAGATATATACATAAGACAGAAAGATGAGACAGATAGATAAGATAGAAAGATAGATAGATTAGACCAGTGTTTCTCAGCCTTCCTCATGCCGTGACCCCTTAATACAGTTCCTCATGTTGTGGTGACCCCCAACCATAACATTATTTTCCTTGCTACTACATAACTCTCATTTTGCTACTGTTGTGAACTGCGATGTAAATATCTGAAATGCAGGATGTGTTTTCATTCACTGGACCAAATTCGGCACAAATACCCAATATGCCCAAATTTGAATACTGGTAGGGTTGGAGGGGGTTTATTTTGTCATTTGGGAGCTGTAGTTACTGGGATTTATAATTCGCCTATAATCAAAGAGCATTCTGAACTCCGCCAATTATGGAATTGAACTAATCCTGGCGCACAGAACTCCCATGACTGACAGAAAATACTGGAATGGTTTGGTGAGCATTGACCTTGAGTTTTGGAGTTGTAGTTCACCTACATCCAGAAAGCACTGTGGATTCAAACAATGATAGATCTGGACTAAACTTGGCACAAATACTCAATAAGACCAAAAGTGAACACTGGTGGTGTTTGGGGGAAATAGACTTTGACATTTGGGAGTTGTAGTTGCTGGGATTTATAGTTAACCTACAATCAAAGAGCACTCTGAACCCAGCTCACAATGGAACTGCGCCAAGCTTGGCACACTACCTTCATGGCCAACATTGAATACTGGTGGGGTTGGGGGGGGTGTTTTTGAATTCTGGGAGTTGTAGTTCAACAACACCAAAAAGTAAGGGAAGGACAGGTGGGGAGATCTTCAGCTTTCTCTGCCAAAAGGATTTCTAAGACCATCAGAAATATGTATTTTCTGATGGCCTTTGGTGACCCCTCTGAAATTCCCCTAGCAACCCCCCCCCAGGTTGAGAAACACTGTTCTACTTGGATTTCTTTGAGAGCATCCCAATCTGTGCATATTATTAATTTCCTATTCCTGGGCTGCAACTCCCAGCAATCTTCCAGATAGATAGATTAGATAAATTGATAAATAGAGATAGATAGGTAGCTAGAGAGAGAGAGAGAGACTGCAACTTTAGGATTCCTTTATTGCTTAGTTTATCATTCAATTGTAACTATTCCAATTTTAAATGTTGACCTTTCCAAATACCTAAAACTTTGTATTTTTGTTTAAAAAAACTTTAATGTAGTTCCCTCCAGCTTTTTCCCTAAAATACTTACTCTCAGGGAAGCTTTCCTAGGATTATAGCTTTCATTTCACCAATACGCCAAACACATTGATACTAAACACAGGCTGTTTCTTCCAGTAGAATGTCAAATGCAAAATATCTCTTACATACCATATTGTGTCGGTGAGTAGCTGCAGTCGGTCTGGATAAAATCGTGCGGAAATTTGTTTGTTGTGTAATAGGACTGAATATTCTTATCTTTCAGGCTGTCCATCGCCAGGCCTTGATACAGAATCGTTTTCCCTTATGGCTTGAGGTCTCCGACTCCGCCGCTGGTCCCAGTTTGTCTGAATTAGCGGAAGGGGCTGCGCTCTTAAACTACGCAGAGCAAGACATGTCCGGACTAGTCCCTGAGCGCTTATGGACCCGATTCTGCAGATGCTGGTTACCAGAGAGAGCAATGCGTTCAACTGAAATAAATATTTGGCTAAACCGAACATTTATTTATTTTATTTATTTATTTCCTATATTTATACCCCGCTCTTCTCCCCCCAAAGGGAGACTCAGGGCGGCCTAACAAAAACATCATACGGTGCTAGCATCATAAAAACAACCACAGTACAATCAAAATATTAAAAATATTGAAACAACAATTCAAACAATTAATTAAGGCACATCCATTAAAATCGAAATCCAAAAACCAGTCCGGGTCAATTCATTGCCATAAGTTGTGTGATCTTCTTCCACTTGCTGCTCACTGATCAAACGCTTGGTCCCATCACCAGGTCTTGATTTTCCTTCTAAAAGACAAGAGGAAGGTGGCCAATCTGATATCTCTAGGGAGGGCGTTCCATAGGCGGGGGGCCACTGCTGAGAAGGCCCTGTCTCTCGTCCCCATCAACCGCGTTTGCGATAGTGGTGGGATCGAGAGCAGGGCCTCTCCTGTAGATCTTAAACTTCATGATGGTTCGTGGCAGGAGATACGTTCGGACAGGTAGTCTGGGCCAGAACCGCTTAGGAATTTAAAGGTTAAAACCAGCACTTTGAATTGCGCTCGGAAGCTGATCGGTAGCCAGTGGAGTTGGCGTAACAAAGGAGTTGTATGTTCCTTGTATGTCACTCCGGTGAGCAACCTGGCTGCCGTCCATTGGACTAGTTGAAGCTTCCGGGCAGTCTTCAAAGGCAGCCCCACGTAGAGTGCGTTGCAGTAGTCTATTCGGGATGTAACAAGAGCGTGGACCACTGTGGCCAAGTCAGACTTTTCAAGGAACGGGCGCAGCTGGTGCACAAGTTTTAATTGTGCAAAAGCTCTCCCGGTTACCGCCGAAACCTGGGGTTCCAGGCTCAGGTACAATTTAGCATAGTACATGTAAAAAATGATGGGTTGCCCCTTCAATCTCCAAATGATGGAAAGCAAAACAAGGTCATTAAATCAATACACATAATACAAGTGAAAATATGTATGTGTGTATGTGCCTGGAGTGTCCACTTGCACAGACAAGTTCTTGCCTCGACAAACAGCTATAGTTCCCGCTACTCAGGAGACACCAATGGCCTTCTCTCCAAGTACATTACAGGTTATAGTGTCCAAAAGCCCTTACAATGTCCTCCACCAATACCAGACTGTCCACCATCCAAGTGAAGGCTTTCATACAGGAACAATTTCATCCTAGATTTTATGTTTTTCCTCCACCACAGGCATCCCAGTGTTTCTGACTCTCTCCATCGGTGTGGAATTTGCATGACCCCCGCCCACTGCCTCTCGCATAACCCTTTCCTTTTTTTTTCTATGACACACAGCAAAAAGAGGAATTGATCAGCAACTAAACATCGTAGAGAAGTTTGGGGAGAATTCACCATGACTGATAGGAATTGTAGGTACTGGGATGAATAGTTCACCTGCAATCTAAGAGCACTCTGCACTCCACCAATGATCAACCTGAACCAAACTTCGCACACAGAGTCCTCATGACCAGCAAAAAATACTGGAGGTCTTTGGAGAGATTTATAGGAGTTGTAATTCATCTATATGAAGAGTGCATTATGAACCCAAACAATGATCCATCATATAGGTGAACTTCAACTCCTATAAATCCCTCCAAAGACCTCCAGTATGGACCAAACTGATATATAATCCTAGAATCCTAGTGCTGGAGGAGACCAGCAAAGGGACATCTAGTCCAACCTCCTGCCATGCAAGATGGCACAATCAAAGCACTCCAGATAGAAAGCCTCTGTGGAAAAGCCTCCAGAGAAGGAGACTCCACCACACTCCCAGGCAGCCTATGCCACTCTCCGGGAAGTTCTTCCTAATCTTTTCAGTCCAATTTCTTTCCCTGTCATTTGAACCAATTGCTCACTCCCTTGTGCCCTGTTCTTTAGAGCGGTAGAAAGTTGGTTTTCCCCCATCTCCTCCTCAATGGGACACCCTTGGAAATCTTGAAACATGGTTCTCATGTTCCCTCTCTAACTTGTTGTCTCCCAGTTAAACATCCCCCAGGAGGAAGGAGAAAGAGAAGAAAGGGAGGAAGAGAAGGAAGGAAGAAGGGTGGAAGGGAATGGAGGGGGGAAAGTGAGAAGGAAGGAAAGACAGGAAAAAAAGGAAGGAAGAATGAAAGAGAAAGAAGGAAAGACAAAAGGAAGGGAAGGGAGGAAGGAAGGAGAAAGAGAGAGAAGGAGGGAGGAAAGAGGGAAGGAAAAACAAAAGGGTGGAAGGGAAGGAAGAAAGAGGGAAGAAGAAGGAAGGAGGAGGGAAGGAAAGAGAAGGAGGAAGGAAGGAAGAAAGAAGGAGGAGGAAAGGGAAGGAAGGAAAAGGAAGGAAGGAAGGAAGGAAGGAAGGAAGGAAGAAGGAAGGAAAGGAAGGAAGGAAGGAGGGAGAAAGAGGGAGGGAAGAGGGAGGGAGGGAAGAAAGAAGGAAGGAAAGAGAAAGGAAGGGAAGGAAGGAGAAAGAGAGGAGGGAAGAGGGAAGGAAAAACAAAAGGGCGAAAGGAAGGTGGGTGAAAGGGAGGTAAAGAAGGAAGGGAGGGAAGGAAGTAGGAAGGAAAGAGAGAAGGAAGGAAGGATAGGATGATGTGAGAGAAAAGGGTCTGAAAAAAGAGCCCAAAGGGCTGCATCTGGCCCCCGGGCCTGGGTTTGCCCATACCTGATTAAGAGCACACCTGCTCACCAAAACAAACGTACTGATGGAGTTTCAGGGGGTTATCTGGCATGATGCGTGTTGTAGTTCACCCACAATCTAATACATTTTGTACCTTTACAAAACTGACTTTTTCAAATACCCTGGGCAACGCCGGGTACCCAAGCTAGTATGTAATAACGCTCAATATAAAACACTTATTTGATTTCTTTAAAATGCCAAGGATACTGTTATACTTAAAATATTTATTCAATATACATTTCCTGCACAAAAAAAAAAAAAGACATATAGCAACTTTAAAACAGTGATGGGACAAGAAATATGGAGAAGAGCACAAGGTTTGATTGCTGGGATCGTACAAAGTCCATTGGTGCGACTACAGTTTGGGTTTCCAGGAACTTTGAAAGGTAATTCTTGATTGTAAGAAGACATGCCTCTCTCCACTAATCGCTCTGTGCTCTTAAAGCTATTTAAAATAGCCTCAATCGGGGCATTAAAAAGGCACATTATGGATTTAAAAATGTCTTCTTTGACAATATTTCAAGATCATACTCTGTACATACAGTCCCTATTTTTTGTTTTCTAACACTTTTATGTAACAAAGGGAGAATCTGATTGTAGTTTTGCTGCTGCCAGAACGTGGAAAGTTATTTATTTGGACCACATTTCTAAGCTCCAATTTTACCTCTGCACCATGTCATTTGCTTCAGGACTCCACCACTCTCCCTCTGTATGATGAATTCAATTCTGAAGCCATTTCAGGAGCTCAAATTGATCCCAAAGGCCAACATCCTTGAGAAGCATTCTCTCCTGATGTTTCACCCACACCTATGGCAAGCATCTTCAGAGTTTGTGAGGTATATTGGAATCTAGGCAAGCGAGGTTATATATCTGTCCAGCGTGGGAGAAAGAACTCTTGTCTTTTGGAGGCAAGTGTGAACGTTGCAATTAATCATCTTCATTAGCATTGCAAAGCCTTGCAGCTTCAAGGCTTGGCTGATTCCTACCTGGGGGAATCCTCTGTTGTGAGGTGTTAGCTGGCCCTGATAGTTTCATGTCTGGAATTCCCCTATTTTCAGAGTGTTATTCTTTATTTACTGTCCTGATTTTGGAGTTTTTTTAAAGTACAGGTAGTTGGACCACTCTAACAACTACTATGTCAGACTACACAGGGAAGCCATTGAAATCCACAAGAAACATGTGGACAGTTTCAACAGAAAGAAGAAAACAATGAAAATGAACAAAATCATGTCTGGAATTCCCTGTTTTCAGAGTGTTGTTCTTTATTTACTGTCCTAAGTTGAGTGTTTTTTAAAAAAAAAAAACACTGTTAGTCATCTAACCCCTCCCAACAAAGGATTCCCCCAGGAAGGAATCAGCCAGGTCTTGAAACTGCAAGGCTTTGCTATGCTAATTAAGGTGATTAATTGAAACATTTACAGTTCTTTCTCCCATCCTAGACCTTTCAGAGATGCATAAACATCCCTTGCTTAGTTTCCAATTTACCTCACAACCTCTGAGGCTCCCTGCCATAGATGTGGGTGAAACGTCAGGAGAGAATGCTTCGGGAACTTGGCCATACAGCCCAGAAAACTCAAAACAACCGAGTGATTCTGGCCTTGAAAGCCTTTGACAACACAATACAGCCAAATTTCAACATGGGCCTCATTAGGGAAAATGTAATGGTGGCAAATTACTCAAAATATGCTCTGAGCAGAAGCATGCTAGAAACTTGCACATTTTCCAGGGCCTCTCCTTTGTATTCGTTGTCCTGCCAAAGCATTAAATTTCTGCTAACCAAAGGCATCCCCAAAACACAACTTAGGGCTCCTCCACACAGCCATATAACCCAGAATATCAAGAATAACCAACAATATTTGCTTTGAAGTGGGTTATTTGAGTCCACACTCAGATAATGTGGGATTTTCTGTTTTGATATTCTGGGATATAGGGCTGTGTGGGCCCTTAGGAGCGAATTCGAGACTGGTTTTGGATGAAACAAACCTTCTGATGGATATTTAAAAACTTTTCAATGGAAAAGAGAATGTAAAGGCCCTTCCAGACAACTCCTATATCCTAGGATCTGATCCCAGGTTTTCTGCTTTAGACTGGATTATATGAATCCCCACTGCCAGATAATCTGAAATATACAGATCAGATCTTGGGATATAGGGACTGTCTGGAAGGACCCTAAGTTTGTGGAATACTCCCAATTTCCTCCTAGCATTAAGCCTTTGCTAGACCCAAGTAGAACACAAAGGGCAACCTAAATCAATCCTAAGTGTAAACACACTTGTGGCACTTCCTTTTTTTTAAGTTGAGCAATACTAGTTTTGTGGGGATCACAGTGTAACTTTCAGGGTGCAGTGCATTGCATTTATTCAAAAGCTCCAGGTAGAAACAGGGAACTAAAGTCCTTCTGGCTATATTTGCCTGAAGCGATAGGCCAGAATTCAAGATTCATCTGCAAGCTGCTCAGTTTGTCCCCAATTGATTCCTCCCATAAAAAGGTCCATAAATAAGAAAATCATTAGCAAAAAACAGCCCAACACGACATACCAATCCAATTCCTGGTTTGTGACTTGCAAACAGGGTACGATGCGGAAACAACAAGTAATTTCTGGCTGATTCTTTGTGTGAATGAGGCCGTTGTATCCTATGTGACAAAAACTAACATGTACAGAGACGTTATCTTCGGATAGGGCTTTGCTACTGGTGGCGGACAAGATAAGCCAGGAATTGGATTCGGCTATCAATAATCGTACAATGTGAATGGCAAATGTAAGGACTTCTTCAAATACTGGTTCCATTTTCTATTTACAGTGATCTGTACATTATAAAAACAAGCGAGTCTCATATTCTGTGTTAAAGGGATACCAATACTGCAAACGCACGGGACGCAGAAGGCAAGGAGATGCACCACAGCCAATGTTTCCCACGTCTGCTGTCAACCATTAAGACACTGCCATACACGCGTGAGCACACCGCACAGTCCTTTTTGTCCTCACTGGGTCGAGGAAAAGTCCTTTGTGTCATGTTTGCATGACGGCAGACAGAGCTGAAGGCAAACCGTGTGTCATTGGACATGAAGCCGGGGTTTCAATATTAACTTTCCAGTCTGTGGAGAAAAGAACCCATTTTTAATCATCAGTGTTGTATAGACTTTCTGTATATATTTCAGATTTCGTTATTAACTAGCCATCCCCTGCCACGCATTGCTGTGGCCCAGTCTGTGTATATATATTGTGTGTGTATATATGTATATATATGTGTGTTTGCGTATATATATGTGGTTCTGTGCATGCGTTGCAATGTATTTCTTATTTTTTTGGCTTTTTAAGTCCCTTCCACTGTATTTTTCAGTGTTTTTATGAGTGATGGTCACTCCTTGGCCTGATGGGTGCATTGTGTCCAAATTTGGTGTCAATTGGTCCAGTGGTTTTTGAGTTACTGTATATACTCGAGTATAAGCCTAGTTTTTCAGCCCCTTGTTTAGGCTGAAAAAGCTCCCCTCGGCTTATACTCTGTTCTTTTACTCTGTTATTAGTATTATTTTATTACATTTATTATTTTACTCTAATATTATTATATTTACATTATTTTTCTCTATTATTATTCTATTTATTATTTTGCTCTATTTTTATTATTACATTTACAGTATTTTACCCTATTATTATTATTATTATTATTACATTTATTAATTTAATCTAATTATTATTATTATTACATTTACAGTATTTTACCCTATTATTACTACATTTATTATTTTACTCTATTATTACTGTTTTATTGCATTTTCATTATTTTACTCTATTATTTTTATTATATTTATTATTTTAATAATAAGTACATTTACATTGAAGGAGGTTAGAATAATGGTTTAATAAGAGTTGGACAGTGTTATTTTAAATTACAGTTTTATGTAAATATTGAGAAACATTTCGCCTATTGATTCCTCAATTAATGTAATTTTATTGGTATCTATTTTTATTTTGAAATTGACCCATAGTGGATGCATTTCCCACCCTCGGCTTATACTCGAGTCAATACGTTTTCCCAGTTTTTGGTGATAAAATTAGGTGGCTCGGCTTATATTCGGGTTGGCTTATACTCGAGTATATACGGTATGTTAATCCCACAAACGAACACTACATTTTTATTTATATTGATGGTCTCAAGAACCCCTTTGTGCTACATTAGAACAGTAAAGACAAATATCACTTAAGTAAAATAAACATTAACTCTGTGTGTGTATTGTAAACGCTCTGAGTCCCCTTTGGGGTGAGAAGGGTGGCATATAAATGTCGTAAATAAATAAATAATAAAGAAATGTTAGAAAGGGGAAGGGAAAGGAAAAGTGGCCCGGGAAACGTGCTGCCCTTTCCCCAGAGCGCAGTTCTATTTCCAGCAACAGACGCAACACATTCAGCCAAAGAAACCAGAGCCACTTACATCATCGCAAGACATATTGTATTCTGCCAAGACCGTCCGACATCGAGCCGCTATGCTGTACAGAATAGGTCAAAGGAAAATGATAAGACTGTGTGGTTAGACTAGCTGAGAACATTTACATGTGGCTCTATCAAATTGACAAAGTAAACATACGTCTTGGATGCTCTGAGTCCATGAAGAGTAACCAGTTTTGAAGAAAAGACTTTCGGAGCGATTGTGGAAGGATCGTTGGCCTCACCAGTCATAAGGGAAGCTAGTGGCACTTTATTGTAGATAATCCTGGGGTTCTGTGCATATGTATGTGTTCATGAGAGACAGAGAGATAAACCCAAAGGTTTCACCACAATAGCACCCCCTCCGCTCAAAAAATCCTTTTCTCTCTCTCTTGGGGCTGTAGAGAGAGAAAACATCAAGCTGGGAAGGTAAGCAAATATTTCTCTTATTACTCTGTCAGTTCACTGTGCTCCCATTTTGCACTGTAAAGAAGGGTCTTCCTCTTCTTACAGAACGGAACGAACTCATGATGCTATAAGAGGTAACAGTCCTCTTCCTGCATCACCACTGCTTAGCCAATCCAGAGGAAATAGCTGAGGAACAGGGAAATGGGGACAGGGAAATGAGGACAAAGATTGGGAGAGAATCAACTCATTCCAAGTGCTGGAAGAGAGTTCCGATCTGTCAAAAAGACAAATAAATGGGCCTAGGAGCAAATCAAGCCTGAATTCCCTTAGGGGGAATCCTTGTGCAAGGAGCCTATTTATTTATCATTTTTAAATTGTTCCCTTATTTGAAACCCTGGGATAAAGTGTTACAGACTCAAAACAAATTTATTACAAACATTTACACAAAAAAAATTGAATGGGAGACTGAAAAAGAAAGGTTAAATGACTGTATGGTAAAATGGTTAGCCAATATTGGCCACACAATCAATTTGAATGATTGAGAAAGAAATGTGGACAAGGAAAATAAAACGGCAAGCTAGGAAGGTAAGGAAATTGGGAAAAATGTGGACGAGGAAAATAAAACATACTTATTTTGTATGACATCTAGGAAAACTGGTATAAAATGTTCTTCCAGTGGTACATAACACCAGCAAAACTCTCAAAATGTTATTAAAATACTAATGAAAAATATTGGAAAAGGGAGAAAAAAAGGGACATTCCACCACATGTGGTGGAGCTGCGAAATAGTTAATAAGTATTGGAGGGAGATACATAAAGCGACCCAAATAATCCTAGAAACAAAATTTCAATTCAATCCAGAATATTTCCTTCTGGGCATCTTAGATCTAGACTGGGGCAGAAACAAAGAGGCTCTATCCAACTATTTAATATCAGCAGCTAGAATAGTTTAAGCACGTTATTGGAGAGGAAAAGAAACTCCCAGTCAGACAGAATGGTTAACTAAAATGATAGAAATAAGAAACATAGGTAGCCTGACACAACAACTTAGACATAGTAAAACAGTAGTAGATTGAAGTTTGTTAACGAAATTTATGGAAAAAGAAAAATTGGAAATTTTGATATAAATGTTATGGGGAGAATAAACTCTCTCCCCACAAACCATGAAGAAAAAGAAGAGGACTATGTACAGAAGAAGTGTGAAATGGAGAAGACACAAGTCCCTTCCCTATTGCCACCTACCGTTCCTTTGAACCCTTCTCTTTTTACAATCACACCCCCTTCCCCCCCAACTTTAAACCCTCCCCTGTTCCTCTCCCCCTTTCCCCCTTTGATTTTATGTAACTGAAAAATCTTTCAATAAAGATATTTTTAAAAGACTGAATTCTTCCTAGAAGGCAAGCAGGAGGCTGTCACACTTTGAACATACAATGAGAAGACATGCTTCACTAGAAGATCATGATAATAACCTTATTTGTTTAGAGAATTGTTCCTCAGCTACAAAGGCACTCAGAGTGGCTTATATTAATTTTCCCAAAAGCTAGAAATGGAAATGGAGATAGTTTGGGATAATACAAATCAGACATTTGTTATTGTTAGCATGTCAGTGCTACTATAATTTTAAAAAGCCAGTATATGGAATAAGTTTTAATGTCGATATTGGAAAGTTCTTATTATACTTTTAAAGGTTGTATATTATTTGATATCATGGCCTATGGCTGGTATGATAAACAATTCATTCAGTTTTCTCTCAGGCTTACAATGTTGGAAATATTAAAAAATATTAAATATTAAAAATGTCAGAAATAGTAAAAATTAACTAGGTATTTTTAATTACAAAAATGTGAATTGAGGACTGAAAGAATTAAATGGAAGCAATGACTCAGCAAAAGTGTTGGTTCACCTCAGTGGGAGAAGGCCTCCGTGAGAGAAAAGCCTCAGTGTGTTAGTAAGCCTCAGATTGAGGCCTGGTGTGAGAAGCTTCAGTGAGAGAAGCCCCAGGGTGAAGGCCATTGTATGTGAAGCTTCAGTGTCAAGGCTGCTGAGTACAAAAAGCTACTGTGTGAAGCTCCTGTGAGAGAAAGCTCTGTGAGAGTGAAGCTGTTTATCTGCATGTGAAAGAAGTCCAGTGTGGAAACAAAGAAATATAAAGAACCTTGTTCTTGTAAATAGTGCAACCATATTATTTTGCTATAAAAAAAGCCTACTATGGAAGAGATAACATTGGTCTGTTTGTTTTTGTTCTTTTTATGACTTTGAGATACTGGTGTTGGGTCACACTGCTGCTAATAAGTTACTCTGCTGTACATGTATGAGGAAGGTCTTTCGTTAATAAGCCCACTCACCCAACAGATCTTTCATTTCATCTTTTTGAAATTGAAGATGTTAGACTCAGCAAAAGATGCAGTTCAATATAAGTAGGTGTGCCTGTAGCTTAGTACGCCTCAGTGTTAGTTGCCCTCAGTGTAAAAGAGGCTTCAGTCTGAGAGGGGCCTCGGTGTGAGGTATACCTCTGTGCTAGTAGGGCTCATTATGAGTAGGTCTCATAGAAGTGAGAAAAGCTCCAGGTTGAAAGCTTTGTGTGTAAACCTCCAGTGTGAAGGCTGTTGTGTGTAAAAAGCTACTGTGTGAAGCTCCTGTGTAGGTTTAGTGTGAGAAGAGGATCTGTGAGAGCAAAACTTTTTATCTACAAGAGAAAGAAGCCCAGTGTGGAAGCAAAGAAGGAATTATAGAAAACTTTATTTGTGTTATGGAAACTTTGTTCTTGTAAATAGTGCAACCATATTATTTTGCTATAAAGAAAAGCCTCCTATGGAAGAGATAACATTGGTCTGTGTGTTTTATTCTTTTTATTACTTTGGGCTAGTGGTGCTGGGTCATGCTGCTGCTAGTAAGTTATTCTGCTGTACATTTATGAGGGTCTTTTGCTAATTAGCCCACTCACCCAATACAATGTACTCAAGACCAATCAGTATTGCATAAGTGTTACATAAGACATGATATTGCTGTGTGTTATTGGTTGCCTCCCTCACACTCAACAGGAAATAAAAATAAGAGGAATAAGAATAAAAAAGACAATAATGCTTGGCAAGGTAGAAGGCAGTAGGAAAACAAGAAGACCACATTACAGGTGGACAGTCAGTCCAGGAGATTTGCTAGAACTGAGTCAGAATGTTGATTACATGGTGACTTGAAGGCATCTCCTTCATAGTGTCAACAGAGATTAAAGTCAACTTAATGGTAGTAAGCAACAAGAAGAGTCAAGCAAGGTTTTGGGGAGAGGTTACTGGATTACACGTAGCCCACAGATCATAGGTTCCAAACACATAACTATGCTAAAATTACTTCCTGGTGGAGCATGGTTCAATAAATAACTGTGTTTGATAGACATACATAAGTCAAACAAAATGAAAAGGATACATTGAAGGTGCCACCACTCTTTTATGTATTCCAGCAAAAAATAACCCTATGAGAGTAATACAGCTGATGGTGAAGAATGGATGGTTCCACAAAGAGGTGAAAAAAGATACCTAGGGGAGAAAAAACACACACAACTGTCAAAATGCACCATTTGAAAGAGATGACCGTGAAATGAAAAAAAAATGATGCTTGTTTTAGTAGAGCACAGTTTGCATTGTAGACATTTAAGATATTATTGCTGCTGTCTACAAATGTTTCTGTGTACAAGCAATATAGGTGTAATTCAGATTAAAACTACCTCACTACCTCTGAGGATGCTTGCCATAGATGCAGGCAAAACGTCAGGAAAAAATGCCTCTAGACCATGGCCATAGAGCCCAAAAAAACCTACTACAACAACCCAGTGATTCCGGCCATGAAAGCCTTCGACAATACAGATTAAAACTGTCACTCAGATCAGCTCAGAGAGAGAGGTAGAAAAGGAGTCTTTACATCTGTATTTGTTTGTTTGTTTATTATTTATTTATTTAACATATTTGCATTCCGCCCTTCTCACCCTAAAAGGGGACTCAGAGTGGCCTTATAGCAGACAGCGATTCAATGCCAATACGTATACATTTAAAAATAAGCAAATACAATTAAAACCATACAGTTAAACATTAATTATTAAAACATTAATTAAAATAACATAATCTAGATCGTAGTCCAAGGACTGTCCTGTAAACCAGTTATTTGGAAACTCTTTTTTTTCCAATCAGTGAAAAAAATGGAAGGGTTCTATTTTACTTGTAGCATTAACTAACAACCTGAAAGGAAAACGTTCACTCTAAATACATTTAATATGATCATATAACAAGTGGTGCATCCTTCACAGCTAGATAGACTCAATGAAGTCCTAAGCAGAGATGTTGACATTATTATTATTATTATTATTATTATTATTATTATTATTATTATTATTAGAAACACAACAAGATGAGTCTACAGCAGACACTCTGCTGGCTGTTGTATTGGATCACACGTCGGACACTTCCCAAGTGTCTAGGACTGTGTGATATATTGGCGAATAATGCGTGTAGATCCCAGTAAGGTGGCCTTTTGCAGCTGGCAGATGATAATTTTGTCAGTGCCAATTGTGTTTAAGTGCAGGCCAAGGTCTTTAGGCACTGCACCCAGTGTGCCAATCCCCACTGGGACCACCTTTACTGGCTTGTGCCAGAGTCTTTGCAGTTCGATCTTTACATCCTCATTATTATTATTACTACTACTACTACTACTACTACTACTACTACTACTATTTATATCCCGCTTCTTCTTTTCCAATGGAAACTCAAAGATGAGTTAACTGGATCTCTCATTTTTTGGGTCACCATAAGAACCTTTTCATCCGCACTAACCATAGCATGTCAATTCACTTCAAAGAGACCTGTTACAATATTCAGTAAGGACACAGAACTTGGTAACACATGGCATGAACAAATAAGTTCTGTAACACCAATTCAGATAAATGGAAACACATGATATGTAAGATATTACCTACCTTCTGTGTTTCAGGGTCAATTAGCCAGTTCCATGCCCCTGTTGCTGTACAGACTGATACCACTATAAGAATTACTGACAAAAATGGAAAAGTTAGAAGCAACACATTTGATGCACACACGGTGATTAATGTGCAGAATAAACCGGTCAAAGTTATGTCTTGAGTTAAGAGTAATTCATTTTGTGACTGGGCTCTTAACTCAAATTGCTCTTATCTCAAAGCTAATTTCACATTAAAATACCATAAATCCGTCCCGCCACCCCCCCAAAACCCTCCATTTTTAAAATCTATTTTTAAATAACAGAATGTATTTTATAAATAACAAATAATGTATAAATACACATTCACATGGAACAATTAAATAGCACTGTGTGGATTTACCGAGACTGTGGCGAAACTGGGACTCAGTTGCATTAAGATCACTACTGACCAAAAGGACATGAGTTTGAAGTCAGACCTGGTCGAAGTGAGCTTCTGACCAATTTGTGCAGCTTGCTGTTGACCTTTGCAGCCCGAAAGACAGTTGCATCTGTCAAGTAGGAAATTTAGATACTGCGTATACGGGGAGGGTAAATTACGAGGCCATAAAAATCTCCAGCAAGCATGCAAAGAATGAGGAAGTATTTCGCAAATGGACGGTGAAGCAACAGCTCCCCTGGTGGCCAGAATACCCTCATGAAGAAGCTGGAATGTTAAATAGCCTCTGTGTGTCTGTCTATATATGTTATGTGTCTATGGCATTGAATGTTTGCCATGTATATGTACATTGTAATCGGCCCTGAGTCCCCTGCGGGGTGAGAAGGGCAAAATATAAATAATGTAAATAAATGAATGAATAAACAATAAAAAAGGAAGTTCAACTGAAGAAACACAATGTTGTGGCAAGGAAAATTTCATGTTCATATCTCTTCTAGAAGCTAGTTTAATACTTGATTTGCTAGGAAAACTGAATTATTATGTCATGAAAAGATGGATTTCTAATAGAATGTCACCAACATGAAATGTTTGGAAAGCTCTAATTTATGAGATACATTCCTATGGAAAACCCATCACTTACTTCTCCATCGTCCAGTTGCTGGTTGTAGACAAGCAATGTATTCAGTCAGCCTCCTTTCAAAAGCCTTAAGATCTGAAAGATTGAGACCGCAATCTATTTAGTTTTAGGAATCCATTTTGCGGCTTGACAGGCAAAGCCTTCTAGAACCTCCATTACAGCCAAAGTCTCACTTTTTTATTTGTTGGGATAGAAGGCTAGAAACTACAACTTTCACGATTCCACAACCTTCAGCCATGGCCGTTAAAGTGGTGTCAAACTGTATTAATTGTACAGTGGAGATACATCTTTAGAGAACACTGAGAGAAAAAAGAGAAGAGGTCATGAATAAGCAAGCAAACGGTTTTTTGGGTTCTTGTAGGTTTTTCTGGGCTATATGGCCATGTTCTAGAGGCATTTTCTCCTGACGTTTAGCCTGCATCTATGGCAAGCATCCTCAGAGGTAGTGAGGTCTGTTGGAACTAGGAAAATGGGTTTATATATCTGTGGAATGACCAGGGTGGGGCAGGGTGTCTTGTGTCCAAATTTGGTGTCAATTCGTCCATTAGTTTTTGAGTTATGTTAATCCCACTGACAAACATTACATTTTTATTTATATAGATTTATCGTGTCAGAAGCGAATTGCGGGTACAGTTAACATGTTTTTAAAAACACAAACAAAAATATGCTGATATCTGTTGTAAACCATCCTGAGTCCCCTCAGGGAGATAGGGTGGGATATAAATAAAGTATTATTATTAATGCAACAATAATAATGTTTTCTTTATTACAACATGGTTAAATCGGCAAAATAAAGCAGAATGCTATTAAAATACATATAAACAAATATACAGAGGTAAAATATAAAACCTAAATTTTATGGACATTAAGAGTAATTATTATTATTTCTTAGAATTAAACCAAACACTATTTAAAAAACAGTTAAAACCATATAACGATACGACTAATGTGTGTGTTAGAATGTAAGGAGAAATCGCAAAGATCTCATTATAGCAGCAGGACTGTGATGCAACCAGGCTGGGAGTCAGCTGCATTAAGATCACTACTGACCGAAAGATCATGAGTTCGAAGCCAGCCCAGGTCGGAGTGAGCTTCCGGCCAATTTGCGTAGCTTGTTGTCAACCTTTGCAACCCGAAAGACAGTTGCATTTGTCAAGTAGGAAATTTAGGTACCACCTATGTGTGGGGAGGCTAATTTAACAAATTTACGACGCCTTAAAAAATCTCCAGCAAAAGCATGCGGGGAATGCGGAAAGTACTTCAACAGTGTTACAGATGGATGGTGAAGCGACAGCTCCCCTGGTGGCCAGAAAATTGGAATGTTAAATAGCCTCTGACTGTCTGTCTATATGTGTTGTGTGTCTATGGCATTGAATGTTTGCCATGTATGTATACATTGTGTTCCACCCTGAGTACCCTGTGGGGTGAGTAGGGCGGAATATAAATACTGTAAATAAATAAATAAAAATAATTTATGTATTGTATTGTCAAAGGCTTTCATGGCCGGAATCACTGGGTTGTTGTAGGTTTTTTTGGGCTGCATGGCCATGGTCTAGGGGCATTCTCTCCTGACGTTTCGCCTGCACTTTGGCAAGCATCCTCAGAGGTAGTGAGGTCTGTTGGAACTAGGCAAAAGGATTTATATTTCTGTGGCATGACCAGGGTGAAACAAAGGACTCTTCTCAGCTAGAGCTAGGTGTGAATAAAGATGAAGATCCTCCCAGAGGAAAAGTGTTCTTGCCATACATCAAGGGAACCACTGACCGCATAGGGAAGCTGATGAGGAAACACAACATACAAACTATCGACAGACCCACCAAGAAAATCCAACAAATGCTACGTTCAGCAAAGGACAAGAGGGATCCTCTCACTTCTGCAGGAGTCTACCGTATACCATGCAGCTGTGGACAAGTCTACAGAGGGACCACCAAACGCAGCAGCATTGCCCAGACACGCATCAAGGAACATGAAAGGCACTGCAGACTACTTCAACCAGAGAAGTCAGCCATAGCAGAGCACCTGATGAACCAACCTGGACACAGCATATTATTTGAGAACACAGAAATGCTGGACCACACTCACAACCACCATGTCAGACTACACAGAGAAGCCATTGAAATCCACAAGCATGTGGACAATTTCAACAGAAAGGAGGAAACCATGAAAATGAACAAAATCTGGCTACCAGTATTAAAAAACTCAAAAATTACAACAGCAAAACAACAGAGGGGAAACAAACAGGCATATAAAATCACTCTCAACAAGAGATTCCCCCCAGGCGCTTCCAGGCCATTGAATGCAAATCAAGGTGATCAGCTGAAACATTACCCTGGTCATTCCACAGATATATAAACCCATTTTTCCTACTTCCAACAGACCTCACTACCTCTGAGGATGCTTGCCATAGATGCAGGCGAAATGTCAGGAGAAAAATTGCCTCCAGAACATGGCCATATAGCCCGGAAAAACCTACAACAACCCAGTGATCCCAGCCATGAAAGCCTTCGACAATACATTATTTAAAAACAGTTAAAATCATTTAATGATGTGACTAATGTGTGTGTTAGAATATAATGAGAAATCGCAAAGATCTCATTATATATATTTTCTATAGTTTTCAATGGGTTTGAGTGACTTTTAACCATTTGATTAATTAATTCTATATTCAGTTCTGTTTTAATGTCTCTATGTTGTAGGTTTCAAGTTGTAATTTGTACTTATTTTTGAGAAGGATTCCCCCAGGCAGGAAGCAGCCAGGCTTTGAAGCTGCAAGGCTATTCAATGCTAATCAAGGTGGCCAATTGCAACATTCACACTTGCCTCCAACAGACAAGAGTTCTTTGTCCCATCCTGGACATCATTCCACAGATATAAAAGACCCACTTGTTTAGTTTCCAACAGACTTCACAACCTCTGAGGATGCTTGCCATAGATGTAGGCGAAACATAAGGAGAGAATGCTTCTGGAAGATGGCCATACAGCCTGGAAAACTCACAGCAACCCAATGTGCCATGAAAACTTCCAATAACACATTAAAATAATAACAATAATTATTATTATCAGAGATTCTGGTCCCAAGCATGTCAGATAAGACATATTCAACCTGTATTTGCATTTATTGCCCTCTCAAGGTTATAAATTATTATAACTTATCAATATTACCTTCTGCCTGTTCCAGAGAGTTCATTGTGAAGGGAAAGAAGGAAGAAAAACTCTCAGACTGCCACTGTATTAGAGCCGCGGCCTACAGACATAGCAAAGCCTTCAGTTGGTGACTTCCCCTTCCTTCTCCGTGCTTTCGTCAGCTCTCTGACTTCCTTCACACCAAACGCAGCTTTCTATTGGACAATGCTTAGCCGCAGGCCCGCCTCTCTCTAGCAAGCCCCGCTTTGATTGGACGGAATCCTTGAAAGCCAAGAAGCTATGAGGGTAAGGGCAAATCGCAGTGCGCATGCGTGCTTTGAAAAGCTATTCCTAACCACAAAACCTTTTAAGGAGGATTCTGGAGTTGGTGAAAGACAGTTGCAAAGCTGTCACTGGAGAAAAATGCCCAAATCTGATAGAATTAATGCCATAAACAACGTCAGTTAACCAGAGAATACAGATTTTTGTTTGACAGTGCTGTGCATTTCAGGTCAGTATTGGAAATTCTTTCTATTTTATTTAAAACTAGCCACCCCCTGCGACGCTTTGCTGTGGCCTAGTCTGTGTATATGTATTTTGTGTATGTATATATGTGTATATATGTGTAAATATGTTGTTTTGCGCATGCATTGTAATGTATTATATATTTTTTGGCTTTTTAAAGTCTTTTCTGCTGTTTTTCAGTGTTTTTTATGAGTGATCGTGACTTGTTGGCCTGATACATGTATTATGTTCAAATTTGGGGTCCATTTGCACAGCGGTTTTTGATTTATGTTAATCCCACAAACGAACACTACATTTTTATTTATATAGACTAGCCGTACCCGCCATGCATTGCTGTGGCCAACCCTCCCTCCCTCTTTCTCTCCTTCTTTACCTCCTTCCTTCCCTTTTCTTCTTTCCTTCTCTCCTTCCTTCGTTCTCTACCTCTGTCCTTCCTTTTCCTTTTCCTTCCCTTTCTCTCCCTTCTCTGCCTCTTTCCTTCCTTCCTTTTCATTTTGCTTCCATCCTACCTTCTGTCTTTCTTTTCCTCCATTTTTCTTTCTTTCTCTTCTTCCTTTGCTCCCTCTTTCCTTCCTTTCCTTTTTTTTCTTGCCTTCCCTCCTCTACTCCTTTCTTTTCTCCCCCTTTTCTTTCTCTTCTTCCTTCCTTCTTTCCCTTTTCTTCTTTCCTTCCTTCCTCTACCTCTTTCCTCCTTTTCTTTTCCTTTCCTTTCTCTCCCTATAGATGTGTGTGTGTGTATACTAGATGTATCTGCCACGCGTTGCTGTGGCCAACCTTCCCTCCCTCTTTCTCTCCTTTCCCCCCTTCCTTCACTCCCTCTTTCCTTCTTTTCTTTCCTTTTCTTCTTTCCGTCTCTCCTTCCTTCTTTCTCTACCTCTTTCCTTCCTCCCTTTTTCTTTTCCTTCCCTTTCTCTTTCTTCCTTCTCTGCCTCTTTCCTTCCTTCCTTTGCTTTTTGCTTCCATCCTTCCTTTTGTCTTTCCTTCCCTCCCTCTTTCTCTTTCTTTCTCTTCTTCCTTCGCTCCCTCTTTCCTTCCTTTTCTTTTTTCTTTCCTCTCTACCTCTTTCTTTCCTTCCCCCTTTTCTTTTCCTCTTTCTCTCCTTTCTTCCTTCTCTACCTCTTTCCTTCCTCCCTTTTTCTTTTCCTTCCCTTTCTCTCCTTTCTTCCTTCTCTGCCTCTTTCCTTCCTTTGCTTTTTGCTTCCATCCTCTCTTCTGTCTTTCCTTCCCTCCCTCTTTCTCTATTTCTTTCTCTTCTTCCTTCGCTCCCTCTTTCCTTCCTTTTTTTCTTGCCTTCTCTCCTTCCTTCCTTCTCTACTCCTTTCTTTTCTCCCCCCTTTTCTTTTCCTCTTTCTCTCCTTTCTTACTTCTCTGCCTCTTTCCTCCCTTCCTTTGCTTTTTGCTTCCATCCTCCCTTCTGTCTTTCCATCCCTCCCTCTTTCTCTATTTCTTTCTCTTCTTCCTGCGCTCCCTCTTTCCTTTCTTTCCTTTTTTTCTTTCCTTCTTCTCTCCTTCCTTCTCTACTCCTTTCTTTTCTTCACCCCTTTTCTTTTCCTCTTTCTCTCGTTCTCTACCTCTTTCCTTCCTTCCTTCCTTCCTTCCCTCTTTGCTTCCTTCTCTCTCTCTCTTTCTCCTTCTTTCCCTCCCCCTTCCTTCCCTTTTTTCCTTGTAAGTCATTTAGCTTTTCATCATTTAGCTTTTTGGGGTTTTTAAGTCCTCTCCACTGTTTTTTGGGGGGCGGGGTGGAGGGTTATGGGTGATGCTCACTCATCGGTCTGTTAGGGGTGTAGTGTCCAAATTTCGTGTCATTTCGTCCAGTGGTTTTTGAGTTATGTTAATCCCACAAACGAACATTACATTTTCATTTATATAGATCATACAAAGCTGCTTATTAGGAAATGAGGAAATTTGATAAACAGAGGTACAGAGTGCATTAAAAACCACAAAGTTAAAAATTTGGCATTATTTTAAATTTCCTTTGACCAGAAGTTGGCCACTTGGAGTCATTATACGGTTCTGGCCCAGCTTACTTGTCTGAACGCATCTGCCTCTACTTCCCACCTCGTAACTTAAGATCATCCGGGGAGGCCCTGCTCTCACTCCCATCAACATCGCAAATGCGGCTGGTGGGGACGAGAGACAGGGCCTTCTCGGCGGTGGCCCCGTTTGTGGAACTCGCTTCCAAACAAGATATGATCAACCCCATCCCTCCTGGCTTTCAGGAAGAAAGTAAAATTGTGGTTGTGGGACCAGGCTTTTAGTCAGCAGATATCAACCAGCATTTTAATGGAAATGGAATTGGAAAGGCGATATACATGAGGATACGATTTTATTAGTAATTAAGGCTTTTACGCTGTTTAATTAATGGCTTATGTATTTTATGTATTTTAATAGTTTAATGGTTTTGTTTTAATGGTTATTGTATTTAATTGTTCATATGTAACGGCATCAAATTACTGCAGTGTAAGCCGCCCTGAGTAGAAAAGAGGCGGGATATAAATACCAGAAATAATAATAATGATGTGTTCTGCATACAAGTTAAAAAGGTTGGGTGAGAGGATACAACCCTGCCGTTCGCCTTTCCCAATCTTGAACCAGTCTGTTGTTCCGTGGTCAGTTCTTAGTGTTGCTACTTGGTCCTTACACAGATTCCTCAGGAGAGAGAGAAGGTGATTTGGTATGCCCATACTACCAAGAACTTGCCACAATTTATTATGATCCACACAGTCAAACCCCCAAATGCCAAGGTCTATTTCCCCCAAAATGTGTTCTGCATTATGGCAATTTGGTCTCTCGTTCCTCTGCCTTTCCTAAACCCAGTTTGCACATCTGGCAACTCCCTCTCCATGTATTGCTGGAGTTTTCCTTGCAGGAATCATACATGGGTCTATTTTTCCATAATTCTATGCAAAATAAGTCTCTCCAGATCTTAATAATGATGGCACAAGAAGGAGACTGGTCTATAGCGCTCTACTGCAATGCGCTCTACGTGGGGCTGCCCTTGAAGACAGCTCGGAAGTTCCAACTGGTCCAACGATCAGCAGCCAGGATGTTAACTGGGGCCCCTTACAGAGAGAGGTCAACCCTCCTGTTCAAGGAGCTCCACTGGCTGCCGTTTATATTCCGAGCCCAATTTAAGGTGCAGGTGCTTACCTACAAAGCCCTGAACGGTTTGGGACCACCCTACCTGCGTGACCGCATTTCCATCTACGAACCCACGCGTTCACTTCGGTCATCTGGAGAGGCCCTGCTCGTGATCCCACCTGCGTCGCAAGCACGCTTGGTGGGGACGCGGGACAGGGCCTTTTCCGTGGTGGCCCCCCGACTCTGGAACACCCTCCCCAAAGACCTTAGACAGGCCCCTACATTGGCTGTCTTCAGAAAGAACTTGAAGACCTGGCTTTTCCGATGCGCCTTCCCAGATTAGGAAATTTCCACTACCAAGTCCCATAAGCACCTTATCAAAACCAATGACTGCTGCACATCGCACTTGCCCTGGAAGCCTCATATACACCTCCTGTCACATCAGCACTTTTAATTCTTGTACCCATTACTCTGGCCTGGCCCAGTTCTTATTGTGTTTTAGTGTATTGCTTTTGCCTGTGTTTATTTGCTTTATCCTGTTTTTAATTGTTTGATTTGCCTAGTTTGTTTTGCTATGTTGTGTGTTGAGGCCTCGGCCTGTGTAAGCCGCATCGAATCCTTCGGAAGATGCTAGGTAAAGGTAAAGGTAGTCCCCTGACATTAAGTCCAGTCATGTCTGACTCTGGGGTATGGTGCTCATCTCCATTTCTAAGCCGAAGAGCCAGCGTTGTCCGTAGACACCTCCAAGGTCAGGTGGCCGGCATGACTGCATGAAGCACCGCGGGGTACAAATATTGTACCCCGGGAGATGTTAGCGGGGTACAAATAAAGTTTAATAATAATAATAATAATAATAATAATAGCCTTTTGGATATGACAGTCTGCAAAATGGCTATGACTCTTGCTCTCCTTCAGATTTTAGGGCTCTGACAGGATGCAATGCTCCCAGGCAGGGTCCCGTTGCCTAGGAAACGGCCCAGGCAGCCAATGGCAGCCTCGCGCTCCCTGCGACGCGTTGCCTAGGAAACAGACTAGGCCTCAGCCGGCCGCTGTCCTAGCTGCGCGTTCGCTGACGCAAGCAGGCCCGGCGCTTCCCTCCGCCTTCGTGGGGCGGGCCGAGGATGCTCCATCTCGGAAGAGGAGGAGCCGGGGAAGGGGCGGGAGACGGCCTGCCTTCCATCCACACTGCCTTCGGGGCCCGAGACTAAAGAAAGAAGGGAGGCAGGAGGCGAAAGAAGTGCGAGGCCTTCCCCGGGACCAGAGGCGCTCTGAGGAGTGAGTCGGAGCATTGGGCCCTGGGTTATTGAATCTTTGTGTTCAATGTATTGTCGGAGGCTTTCATGGCCGGAATCACTGGGTTGTTGTAGGGTTTTCCGGGCTATATGGCCATGTTCTAGAGGCATTCTCTCCTGACATTTCGCCTGCATCTATGGCAAGCATCCTCAGAGGTAGTGAGGTCTGTTGGAACTAGGAAAAAGGGTTGATATATCTGTGGAATGACCAGAGTGGGACAAAGAGCTCTTCTCTGCTAGAGCTAGGTGTGAATGTTTCAACTGACCACCTTGATTAGCATTTGATAGCCTGGAAGTGCCTGGAGCAATCTTTTGTTGAGAGGTGATTAGATGTCCCAGATTGTTTTCCCTCTGTTGTTTTGCTGTTTTAATTTTAGAGTTAATACTGGTAGCCAGATTTTGTTCATCTTCATGGTTTCCTTCTTTCTGTTGAAATTGTCCACATGCTTGTGGATTTCAATGGCTTTTCTATGTAGTCTGACATGGTGGTTGTGAGAGTGGTCCAGCATTTCTGTGTTCGCAAATAATATGCTGTGTCCAGGTTGGTTCATCAGGTGCTCTGCTATGGCTGACTTCTCTGGTTGAAGTAGTCTGCACAACAGCACAACAACAG